CATTTTGACTCCACTGGACCAGGAGACATTGGTCCGTGAAGTGGAGGGTCCATACCTGGACCACATGGTAATGGTATATGACGCCCTCTTTCCGTGGGATTGCGCCGACAAAGCTATTATCCACAAAAAATAGATGACCTTTGCGACTTACTGCTGCATGGATATTGGCAGACCTTATGAGACGCGGAGGCTGCGGACTGCGACCACTCATATGAGTGCCGTTTCATATGAATCGAGCACCTACTATCCGGCTAAATTGACAATTGCAACAGCCGGGCAATTTGACTGCACACCAGGTGGACAGCTTGGCCTGACCCTGGAGCAAAATGGTTCTCATTTCATGTTTTGACTGCGAAGTCAACTCTGTCGAACTGAGACTGTTCAGGTATAGATCTATCAGATTCTTGAAGGTTTATATTGCGCACGTGGCCATATTCGTATCTCATGCAGAGGACTGTTGCCTTGCTCAGTACCTAGAGACCGTAGAGAAGCAACTCCTCACGCTTCTGTTGACAGTCTGGTATCAATAGGTGTACCTACTACTTTTAGGAATGGTCACTGAAGGACCAGGTGCCTTTACACTCGACCAAGAGCCCACGTCCAGCCGCCGCGGTGGCTAACTGTATGTCTGATTCGAGAGCCATGTTATGCTTCAGCAGCGGACGTGACCAGATACATGAACTTCTCGCCATGATGGCAGCAGGTCCAGTTTGAGTTCTGATATTGGGCTGGGACATCGAGATCTCTTCACCTTGTTGGCTTCAAGACTTCAGATCCCTTGCCATTCCGGCCTGGCAGGACGAGCAAGAACCATGTATTTCTGGTCTTGCCTTCTGCTGCCAATGTGATCGCTGGTGAGTTTCTTGCTCTTCACATACCATTGTGAAAGGCACGTTTTAATGCAGCTCAAGACGCCTTTCAGAGACGCTCTCCACAGATTCGTGGCTGACGACTACCGAATTTGACCAAGGTCATACGAGTTATTACTCGGGCACGTAGTGGTATGACAATGCAATTCATCTTCAAGGATTTGAAGAGGGACACTCACCTGTGACGGGATGAACCAAGGCGTTGCTTTAGGATAAGTGCGTTCCTATTTCAACTAGGTGACAGTGTTCGTCAAATGTTGGACATTACCTTGTGCTTCAGCGGCTCTCGATATCATCTGTCTGTCAGCGAAGACTTAAAGAAGGGCTCTTGTACCTCGTACATGCGGCCCTTCAGGACGGCACGAATGCAATTTCATCCTAGATTTCTTTTTCCAAGGTGGCAGCAGCAGAATGGTATTTGATGTGTTCCCAACTTTCTCGACAATCATTACTCCATAGAGGGGAGGGGCGAAGTCAGTCGGAGCTGGGGTTCGGCTGCTCGTAATAACTCGTAGCCTTAGGCGTCGGTGGGCGTTAACCCCCAGAGACAGCGCCTAAAGCACTGCATTCAGGGGCAAGCCATCAGACGAGCCTCTAATCGATATCATCGATTCCTCTTGGGCGAAGATCACCAACTAAAAATGTCACAGAGGCTTACCTCTTGCGGCTATCGGGCTCGTTAGAGTATGTCAACCAAGGTCAGGTTTGCGCCTATCACTGCACGCACACGGCCAAATTCAACTGACGATCCTATGCAAACATGGCACTGCGCCGTAATGATTGGGTCTCCAGCGTGGCGCAGACGCGGGAACCCGACACTTCCGAGCTTCTTGGGCGGCTGACACTGGCTTGCGCCGGCCGGGCAAACGAAGGCAACAAGGCAACATGGAGTGAGAGTGAAATGAGACTGTGAGACTAGTACTTGAGAGCTTCATCCCCGCTCATGGGCAACCAGTTGTGTGAGTCCAAAGCAACATCCCCTACCTCGCGCTCTTCGACATGAATCCAGACCAATCTACGCACCAGTTGGTTTCCTCAGAATGCCCTTTTTCTTCAGTGATGCCTGCAAGCGCCGCCGATATGCTGAACCTCCAGCTGCGCATCTTCCGGTCGGTCCTCCAAACCCCCCGCTCTATGCTCTGAATACCTCTGCCGCCATCTACGGAGAGCCACAGCCTCAATGGACACCGCAGCCTGCGACGCACTTCACGCCAGCCTCGTATCCTTATATGACCTCGACCATCTCTCTACCGCCGGGTCAGAGCATCCAGCCAGAATACAGAACGATGCCTTTGCGACCTCAGCATACATGGTCACATCCCTCATCCAACTATGTGGACGTTGGCCCTCCGAGAGCTCCCATGCCTATTGAGTTGCAAGACAGGATTGACGACAAGTTAGGCAATGTCATATCGCTCATTGATGAAGATGCATTTTCAGGGTCAGAAAAAGAGCTGATGATCACCGTGGGAGAGTACCCCTCCCCAGAATTTGCAGAGACACAGACAACGGATCGGGATTTGACGCGGGCACTTGGAGGCGTTGAGAAGATGCAACCGAGACAGAGGAAACACCCACAACAGAAGCAGACGAACGTCTTCTCTAAACTTGACCTGTACATGAACTCTCGACTGCCCGTGTCTCTGCAACCATTTCGAGTCTACATCCCAACATGGCCGCTCCTGTGTCTCGCGGCACAATACTCAAACAGCGCATACACCTCTCCCCAATCCTGCTCAGAACGCAAGGACTTTGTCTCGGCAGATGGCCGCCTAGGCACAAAGGCCATGGTGATCAAGTCGATCCCGTGCGATGACAAGAAGACCATCGTCTTCGCCATCCGTGGAACAAGTTTGTTCAGTGTGCGCGATTGGGGCGTCAACTTTGATACCGAACCCGTGTCGCCGGTCGGATTTCTGGACGACCAGGGGAATCTCTGCCACTCGGGTTTTCTGCGAGTCGCAAGAGCCATGATCAAGCCAATTGCAGCTCGACTTCGTCACTTATTGGAGGAGAACCCATCTCGATCTAGCTGCTCCCTTCTCATCACGGGCCATTCTGCCGGCGGAGCCGTAGCGAGCCTATTATACGCCCACATGCTGGCCGAGACCGTTCAATCCGAACTCAACATCCTCACGGGCTGTTTTAAGAGAGTCCATTGTGTCACGTTCGGAGCTCCCCCTGTCACTCTCTTGCCGCTACAAAAGCCCGAAACTGCTGATGGACGATTACGCAAATGCCTGTTCCACTCATTTCTGAACGAGGGCGATCCCGTTGTACGCGCGGAGAAGGCATACGTAAAGAGCCTGGTTGACCTCCTTTCGCGACCAATCCCATCCTTGCTGCCGTCCGACCAACCGAAGCCGTACTCAGTATCGACGCTGACGGCGCTTGGGGCGTCTATGTCGAGACTCGACCTCTCACTCACACCCGCGCCGAAGAAACCTAAACCCCCGAAATCCAAACATCCGTCCATCCCACTGAGGAAGTTATGGTGGGACGTCCCCGCTGCGACATTGTCGAATGCAGGTCGTCTCGTGGTACTCCGTGTGCCGGACCGCCCTGGTGCGAAGGAGGCGGACGTGACTGCCTCTCTGGTCAAAGATGAGCAGCTCCGACAAGTCGTCTTTGGCGATCCCCTCGTCCATTCGATGGACCTTTACGCGAAGAGGATCGAGACTCTCGCGGTCCGAGCGGTCACGGGTCGGGGCGGAGCGTGTTGAAATAGCCTTGCGCGGAATTGAAATGGAAAAAGGAGCAGGAATTCGTCCGTCATCTTCTTCTGCGTGTCTAGTATCATGTACTATTCCTCCCCCCTTTTTTTTATTTTTCTGGATTCTTGTTCGAAGAACGCCACTGTTCTATTGGAATATCATGTAATATAACGATGTCACGTCGCGACGAAGTACCTTGTAAGTAAGGGAGGAAAACGTAATTCCACACCATGCCGTGTAATATCATATATACACACACACACATATCTATATGATGTACACTATTCATTCATCCGTTTACTCTTATATTTGCCTGAGCACTCTTCCTCTTCCTCTTCCTTTTCCTTTTCCTCTAATGAATCGCTCGATCGATTCCCGGACATACAAATAACGAATCAGGCGGACCAGATAAACAGACAGATGGCGGTGCCGAGTCTCATAGCCTACATAGATACTTGACTTCCACGCCACCCTTGTAACAAAGTATAGCATGTGATAGCACGGCATAGCATAGTCTGGCATAGTATAGTATGGCATAGCATAGCATAGCATAGCATAGCGTCCAAAATCCGCCTCCCCGATGCCGAGTTCGAATTCGGGAATCTCTCGACCAGATTGGCGCGTTGCTGCCGGATTGGTCAAGGCTGGGAGGCTGGAGGGTGGATGGAATGATTCTCAATGTCCCATGCTACATAACTGCGGATATACATGTGTGCACACCCATTCGTGTTACCATATTGCCTGCGTATTACGTTCATCCTGACCGAAATCCCGCCTCTCAGAATCTGCGCTGCTGAACCTCGTATTTTTCCTACCCTGCCTTGCCTTGCCTTGCCTTTCCCTGTCTCGCCTTTCCCTGCCCTGGCCTGCAGTAGTCTAGCCTCGCGTCACACAGAAAGCACGTACCACTCTACATGCAGTGCATCTTTACAGATACGTCCTTTTTTTCTCTCTCCAGAGTTGGGGCCACTGAGGCGCAAAGGACGCCGATCTGGGATGGCAGAATCCTGATTTGCTACCCGAGGCGATCGACGCTCACAATTCTCTCAACTCACACACATTGAAGATGGACTGGGCCCGAGAGAGTAAATGCAATGCTGCCCAACGCCTTGACCCTTTTTTTTTTTTTTTTCTTTTCGTTTTTCTCCCCCAATGCCCTTTGGCCCCATTTTCCCGCGTGGTTTGCGGAAAACGAATGTGATGAATGTGCTGATGAACATTTCTCCAGCCTTCCCAGGATCTTTGCTGCGAGATACCGGAAAGGATGGTCGTCATGATCTCGCCCCTTCGGCATCCAGCCTCCCGAACATGGACCACGACGGGCGGAGATCGAGAGCGAGAGACATGAATTCAGCCGCATGCATCCTCACGATTTTGGCTGTCCGCCACTTCAGAAAACATTGCAACGCTGCAACTTTTACACTCCGACGAACTTTTTCTTCCGAGCCCCAGGCGCACCCCAATTCGCAGTTCGGGGATTCCGGTTCAAAAGTCGGGTTCTGTATTGTTGGAGCGATGTCGGCGTCGGTTTTGACAAGACATCTTGTTTATGAAGAGACTTTCGAGGGAGCGGACGGGCCCGAGGAGCAGGGGTCTTGGGGATTGACGTTTCCACCGAAACATCCTTGATTGTTTTATTGCGAGTGGACCCATCAGCCGGATCCGTTGCGCCCAAGCCTAGAAATGCACCGGCCGTGTTTGCTGGGACTTCTGGCGTCCCTTGTGCTTGACTTTCCGACGCAGGGACTATGGCGATGGCTCCAGTGGTTACTTCTGGTTCAGTCACTCCTTGTGATGGCGGAGTTGGTGCCTCTACATTCGTACGAAGAGGAACGTCGAAAACCACAGGCGGCTCCTGAGACAGGGGAGTTAGGTTGTTCACCGTTTGTAGATTTTGCTCTTCCAGACTCAACTCTTGGGTGGGTGGCGGAGATGGCGTCTCTAAGCTCGTGATAAGAGGGCGATCGGAAACCACGCTCGACTCTTGAGACTGGGGGGCTGAAAAGTTCACCACATGGAGATCTTGCTCTTCTAGGTTCTCCTCTTGGGCGAGTTGTGGAGATGGTGCCTCTAAGTTCGCAACGGAGAGGCCATCGGAAACCACAATCAGCTCGTGAGATAAGGGGAGTTGGGTGTGTGCCGCATATAGATCTTCCTCTTCTACATTCGGCTCTTGGGCAGGTGGTGAGTGGTTGGATGTAAAAACCTCTCCAAATGGCGGCTGCAAGGACGGTAACTGAGTGCTGGTGTCGACATTTTCAAAGTCTACGTCAACATTTTCAGAGCTTATGTCGACGCTTTCGGGGCCTGTGTCGGCATTTTGGGGGGCCTGGGGCTCTGTTTCATTTTTGTCTGGGTTTGCTGTGGAATGGGCGGGTGCAGAGCTCTCGCATCTTCCTAGTTCTCTGGCGACCACTGTCATGTCCGAAAGATCATCCTTATTGGCAATGAGTTTGCCTGGGACGGGTTTCGGTGCTTGGTCATTCTCATTTGTTCTTGGTGCTGTTGAGATCACTCCCGTATCCAGAGAATCATCTTTACTGGCGATTAGGTTGCCTGAGACGAGTGTTGGTGCCGGGACCTCGATTGTTCTTGGTGTTGTAGTGATCACCGTCGTGTTCAGAAGATCTTTGACAGAATTTGAGAAGCGTCTCGGCACTGGCGTTATCATAGTAGAAGCCTGTGCGCGGCCCATATCCTCCATTACAGTCCAGCCTTGACAATTGGCATGCTGGAAGGAAGGATTTGACATCCCCAAGGCTCGTCGAGCAGCCGGGGCGCCGCAGAACACTACGGGGGCGCCATCATCTCCACCACGTTCATCAGCCGCATTCATAGAGACGGCATCGGCACGCTGGTTCATAGAGATTTCAGCTTCGGGTATCGTGTCCTTACGGTCTTCGCTACCGAATTGCCTTCGTTTCCTGACACATGCCCATCCGGAGGGTGGTGAGGCCGGGCGCTTCGGGCTGGCTGCAGGTGTAGCCTGTCCTTCTCGAACATGCTGGGACATTCTTTGCAGGGCCCTTCGATCCACAGGTTGCGTAGTTGCGGCTTCATTCTTGAGGAAGATATGCTCGGGCAGGCCTTGGGGGCCCGACTGGTGGGTAGGTGCGAAGGCTGCTGGCTGGCGATGCGAGATCCATTGTCGCGCTTCATTGTTGGGAAAAGTATGCTCGAGCACGCCTTGAGGGCCTGGCTGGTAGGTAGGTCCAAAGATTGCTGGCTGAGGCTGCGAGATCCATTGTTTCAGTTGCCTGCCTCCAGAGCGTAACTCCTCTCGAGGCGGATCAGAGGTCCCTGCAGCATGATCTTGTGAGTGATTGAGGATGAGGTTGAAAAATCCAGTTTGAGGTGTAGGGGCCTTTTTCTCACAGGCGAGCGGGCTCATGGAAGGGGTTCTAGAATTCTTGGATGGCAACATTGCGGCTGTGGGAAAGGATGCTGCACCCATTGCTGCAGGTAGAGGAATGTACTCTGCCATCCTGGAACCTGGTTGCCACCATTGTAATGGAAAACATAACTGGCAGAATTGGAGCTCCAAGAAAGAAAAAAAAAAGGAGCGTGTGTGAAAAGAGGATGGGAATTTGGTGTCACACAGAATACGAGGAGTCGGTGAATAGTGCCTTGAGTGCCTAATACAGAATGTACCTCTTGGTATGTACCTCGAATTGTTCAGTGAATGTCGAGGTTGACTTGATCTTATCTTATCTCTATCACGTACATATATATGTAGGTACATATGTACAGTACATCCATGCTAGCCTCTCTCTTCCTCTTCCCGGCTTTGTTGCTCACGATATTGTTCAGTGTCTGTTTGCTCCATCAAGAAACATGACATCCCGCCCGCCAAAGAAGACGGCTTCGGCACATTGTCCGCGGATCCAGGTACTGACCCTCACCAAATGCCATCGGTGTAACTCCCGCATCATGCAAAAGGCGGCAGAGGAACGTCTTTCTCCAATTTGTTGGCTGACAAAAGGCGGGGCATCCGTCCTCGTTGGCCCATGTGTACAAACACAACTCCCGCATGGATACCATCCTCTACTGCTCTCAGGCGGCAGCACATCCTCTCCTTGCTCGTGGTCGTCACCAACAACTTCTGAATCGAATCCCAGCGCAGCATCATGGCCTCAGTAGCCAAAGTCAAGTCCCTAGATCATCTCGTCCTGACGGTCAAGGACATTGACGCCACCATCAAATTCTACCAGGATGTCTGTGGGATGCAGCACACCTCATTCCCTGCGGCCACCGATCCCAGCATCACCCGGCACGCTCTGAACTTTGGCAACCAGAAAATCAACCTACACCAAACTGGAAAAGAATTTGAACCCAAAGCGGAGCGCGTCCAGCCAGGGAGCGGTGACTTGTGCTTTCTGGTGGAGGACGATGTGGTCGGGGTCCTGGATCGGCTCAAGGAGAAAGGGATCAGTGTGCTTGAAGGTGGTAACGTGGTTGAGAGGACTGGAGCCCAGGGGAAGCTGCGGAGCGTCTATCTCAGAGATCCTGATGGTAATTTGATCGAGTAAGTGTGGGCACACGCAACAAACAACCTTAGCCTTCTTCGAAGTCCAAGAATTCGGATTTCTGAGCCCTGGGCTGATCATCGTCCCCAATGGGCTGTTCCAGACTGTCGAACTTGATCTAAATTGTCGAGGTGGTGGAAGCGAGGAGGTATGGTATTGACCATTGCAAGGACGGGTAGGCATGCCGCCATTAGGTCGAGGTTCTCACCAACCTCCTGGAAAGAAACCATATTCGATTTGATGCCCCGATTTTTCTTGGGCAAAGTTCAGAACTCACCCGCCTCGCATTTAGCTGAACTGTCATGACGTCGTTACTCATTCGTTCAGCGTTCCCGCCACGTGAAGCATCGTCTTGAACGCTAAGGCCATTGTCCGGCTGCTGGTCGACGAAACGAGCCGTGATAGCGGTTTAGCAAACCTTCCCCTCTCGAAAGGTTGGCATGATGGAGAGCAATGAGCTAGGTGGCGAGGTTTATGATGTAGCCGGAGGGCGGCTGAGGAGGGGCGGGAGAACCGAGCCCACACACGACTACCGCAGAAGACGTGACTGGGATAAAACAAGTCCGACCAGGCCTGGCGCCCTGGATACGAGAACCGGAACAGTGACCGCCGCAAGACGAGGGTTGTCATGAAGAGCCGAGACTTGGTTCTCGGGACACTTGATGCCTAACCTATGTCGCGCAGCTGCGTCGAGCGTCAACACTATAGCTCAGATGGACTCGTGCATACCAGCTTGTGTGGGATATTCAGCCTATTCAAGAATTGTCGTCGTCCTACTTGAACGTTGCCGTGTTACTCGCCACTTGGTGCGCATGAGGATACGTAATACCTCGTACACCTGCAGGCTTTGATTCGAAATAGGTTAAAGCTCTGCTGGTAAATGGGTTACTGTAAAAGAGCCCTGGAAGTCTGGCCAGTCGGAACGCATCTGATTTGCCCATGCCTCAGGTTTGCATTTGATAACTTCAGGGCTTTCGAGACCTTTAGGTGGCGTCCAATTAGTGTTGATGGTGTTGAAGCCCAAAAGAGTTGATCATTTGGCTAGTACACCCAGCGGGGAGAGCCGGGATACATAGATGACCGAGTTATTGAACTGCGCCCGCAATTTTGCATCTGGGGGACTCGGCCCCTAACCTGTTTGGTGAGGATCAAAATTGGGGTCTCTGGCCCGTCGCCGGCCAAGGATCTTGTGTCTGGAAACGATAACCGAGATCACGGCACCGCACATCTCTTTTTGTGTTCATTCAAGGTCTCCAAGAGAGTGGCAGAAGTATCGACGCTCGTGCCATCATCCTTCATGATTGTCCCTCGGGAAAGTTGGTCGCTTGGTTCACCTTTGGATGTCGTTGGTCCTTGGCAGCAATGGATCAACAGAGGCCAGCAGAGGCCAGGGGTTGTTGTTCCCAAGTTGCTAAAACCCGGTCGTCCGTACTCGGTACTTTTCCCTAGTATGCAGTATGCAGTGCAGTGCTTAGGGCACCAACATGTGGTCCTACTTAGCTTTGCACTCAGCGCTTAGATCTTCCGGGTGGTTGGCCCGTGGTGTCTTCCCCAGAAGCTCGTCTTTTTCTTACCCTTGGAGCAAGGTTCTCTACCACCGGAAAGTGTAAGTATTCATCCATGGGAAGACATGGGAGTATGTTCCAGCAATCAAAAGGTCCGAATATAGGAGCGGCTCCAAGGCGGGAAGCGTTGGGTCATGGCTTGAACCTTGGTCTTCAACTCCGCCAATTGTCGCGTTGGCTGCGTTGGGACTCGATTATTCCGTCCATAGTGCCCTTGTTTGCACGTCAGTGGGATCGGTCGTGATTGGGATATGACCATGTTGAGCCGTGCATGGGTTCCTGCAGGTTGCAGCGACATCAATTCACGCTGGTGATGAACCTTGCCCTAGTCAACCTGGGTGTCTAGGTCTGTCAGTCAATTACCACCCCATCGCCTTTGCGGAGCCGAAACTTGCGAGCCGCCCGTTCTGGGGCTTGGGGATGATGCTGGTGAGGATGGTGAGAATGCCATCCATACATTAGCGGGACTCCTCCAGCGCCTCCTCTCTCAGTTCCTCCCAAGTTATTGTCATTGTGTTGAAAACAACCCCCCGGCCATGGTTCAAGGAGGATCCTTGTCCAGTGTGCTTTGGGAACCGATCTTCCACGCGTGCTGCCCGGCAGTCCGTTTATAATGAGGCCGGGAGGGAGTGGGCGACGAGCGCTCGTCTGCTGGAGACCAACTAATAAGTTAGTAAATATCACCGAGGGGTGGATGACGTGCCTGCCAATGCGTCCAAGGTTGTATGGTTTCATACAGCTCCTTCAACGGGTTTCGGTTTCGGGTCGGGGCAGCGTGCTACACCACCCAGCAGTGAGAGGGCGTGCCAGTGTTTCGCAGCTAGAGCGATCAGAGCTAGAAGGTCTGTTGGGCAGCTGATGGAGCATTGAGGGACCTGAGCACCGAGGAGGGAGGAGGGAGGAGAGTGAGAGCTGGTGGTGATGGCGGTCACTGCTGATGGGGCAGTGAATGGTTTGTCACTCGCCCTCCAACTTCGGGATTCGGGATGACAGCTCCCACCTAGCCATGTACCTACCGACCGACCGACCTACCTTGTACCATTCTACCAAGGTACATACCATTTCACCAATCTTATCCCATCGCTCGTCTTAGTCGCTTTCCTGTATCGAGCAGTTCCCCCCAGTACCTCGCAGATGGTCCGTCCTCGATGCTCTCGCTCCCTCGACTCGTTCTCTTTTCTTCCCAGTTCATTGTTCCTCCGGTAAACTCCCATCGCTCTCCTCTCCTCGCTGCCCTCTCACCTTTCGTATCACGATGCATGCTTCCAATCCCCCCTTGGCCTTAGTTCGCAGGTCGCTTGGGGCTGGCGTGGGTTTACTCCTCCCTCTAGTGTCGTCGACCTCCACTTGGCAACCTTTTTTGATCAACAAACCCTTCAACGCTGTTGGCGTGCTCGCCTAAACTAACCCTTCCACGCAGCCCGCCCCCATGCACCATGCCGAAAGCTACAGGTTCATTCTTGGATTCACCAGAGAAATCCAAGTTTCGGAACTGCGGACAGCGGACAGCGGACAACTCTTTACATTTTGGGACTTTTGGTTTTTCGGTCTTGGAGGCCGATCGGTCGTGCTCCTTCTCGCACGTCCCAACCTAATAACCAGCCGATCACCCTTTCAACGCGGCCATGCGAGAATCTCTCCATCCATCTATTCCAATAATCCATGTGTTGCCGTCGTCATGTGTGATGATGGTGACGGTGATGGCTTTTCAGCTAGCCTCTTCACATGTGGACGCCGTCGAGGATGTAGGCGGCATGATACCACATCCACATGACAAGGAGCTCTCGTATAACCCTGGCATCCCCGACAAATCTGCGACTGGCCACACTCTCTCTGTGTGCCCGCCTTGAGCCCTGAGAGGCGGGGGTTCACCACGGACCACTGCAACTGCGCAAAGCAAGGCCCGGCGGTGCTGGTGCTGGTGCTGGTGCTGGCATCTTCGCAAACCCGCTACTGCACAAACCGTCAAACTTCTTTTTCGCCCACCGTCCAGAATCCGCGCGAAGTCCGACGACCCTGTCTTGCCCTGTCCAAGCCTGTCCTCCTGTTCCATTTTCCCATGTTCTCCCTCCCTTCCGAATCTCGGTGCTCGCTCGCTCGCTCTCTTCCCACACCCCTCCTCTTCCCCACGGCTATCTGTCGACTGCTCCAGTGCTCCTGCTATTCCCCATCTTGCCCATCGTCTAGCGACATCACCTCCCAGGATGTAATGTCGTGGCGCACCGTCCCCCCGGTCGCCAATTGCGCCAGCTGAGCCCTCGCTAAATGCCATCCGCGATGCCAAGGGGTGGTGCTCGACAAGATTTTCGGTCCAGAAGTCGATCGAGGTTGACCAGCTGCCCTCTACGGTCCTCTGCGGCCCTCTGGTATTTAAAGAGGCAACGCATCGAGCGACATTGCCGTCGCCATTCGCGCCAGCCTTCTCTCCAGGTACCATGACTCCAGCGGCACATGGTTCGTCGTCTTCAGTCTGTGTGCTCAGTGGACCACGGCATCCTCCCTCGTTCTCCCTGACCACGGATGCATTTGCACCAGAGGCTATGTACACCTATCCATCCCCGATACCACCTCCAGGCAGTCTTGACCGTCAACACCATCCTTCATATTTCGCAGCTCCTGTGATTTCACCTCACAGTCCAAGCAATCGGGCGCCTCCACCGTTCCCTCCTTTATACATTGCACCTTCTTCTCGTCCTGTGACAGGGCATGGTTCTGAAAACGACTCTGCTTGGTCGCCCTCATCACAGCCATCCAGATACGGTGCTCCGATCCACAGTCCAGAGACTCGCCCTTTTAGTGACAGAAGGTAATGGCGGAAGCTCTAGCGAGTCTCATCATCACTGATCATGGTCTTAGGCCATCATACGATCTTTCACCGTTTGCAACCTCATTCAATCGACTTCAGGAACCAATGGCTCAACCTGAAAGGAGGGCTTCCAGTCCAGTATCTGATGCTTTGGCTGACGATGCCCCTCCTGCGACTGTTCCAATTATGGAATCACCACCAGCCGTGCAGAACGCAGCTCTGACCGCGGCCTTGAACCCTAGCCCGCCCCTTGTCGACACTGCCCGGCGATGTCACCTGCACATCAGACAGCAACCGCGAGCCGCGCGCGCTGGACCTGATGGGAAGGATCGAAGGTAGATCCCCAGAGCTCTTGGACTTGTTCATGGCTGATCAGTCGCTCAGAGCAGTTGATCCACCACCGATCGTGCAGTTATTGATGGACGACTTTGACCCTGATAATGAGGACGATGTGGCAGAAATCAAATGCCCCTTCTGGGTTGTGTTCTGCCGGCTAGTTGGAGCAGTTGCAGTGAATTCAGACGTCAGCACGCAGTCTTACTTCACTGAAGAAGGTCAAAAGGAAGTGCAACGTCTGCTCTTGGGCACTACGGTGGCAAGTCCTACTCATACTGCTGATGACCCTGATCCCCCCACGATGCCAACCCATCCCGTAACGAGAGATGCCGTGTCGCCCCCTCATAGTCCTACGTCGAGGTTTTTGCCCACCACCGCACGAGGGAGACTACCAAGAGCGCCACACAACATTCCCGGCGCCTTCTTCATTTTCGCTGACCTCTCTCTTCGCAGAGCGGGCGAATACCGGTTGCAATTCACGCTGATGAAGATGGAGCCTCCGTTACTGAGAGTAGGCGCTACGGTGCCAGCTCATCACGTCGTTACCAGCCAAGTCTTTCGAGCTGTCAACGCAAAGGATTTCGACCAAGTCCAGCCTAGCACCAACTTGGTCAAAGGGCTCCTTGACCGAGGCGCAGGGTTCCCGCTCAAGCTGAAGAAAGGAATCAGGGAGGGACAAAGGCGAAGGAGAGCTGCGTGGGATGACTATTCCGACGACGAAGATTCGGGTGACTATGACAATGAGTGATGAAGGATGACTTTCGCCCCGGGTGTGAATGCAATGATTCCATCGGGCCCATTCGAGGTGCCAGGGGAAGCTCTCTTGGGGCGGGTCGACGATGGCATATGATGGAACGATTACTGGTGTTTTCAATACATGACCTACCTTTGGCCATTGGGTAATGAAATGCGGGCACAATTTGGATGACCAGAAGTAACAGACAAAAGTACAATGGCATTTACGAGGATGTTCACAGCGCATCCGGCGGGCAACAGGGGATCAGGCAATGGAGAGATGTGCGAGACGGGTGGCAGTTTGATTTGTCAAAGGGTGCAGACAGATTATGTAAGATGCAAGGCTTGCATGTTCTGGAGTCCTGAGCGTTTGGGTTATTATTATTGTTCTTTTTTATTTTTTTTTTCCCGACGCAAACGAGCACTGCGAGGAATTGAAGAAGCTGAGATCTAGGCGCTGGGAGGTGGAAAAGTGAGTCCCCAGCTTGTGCCACAGCCTCCGGCCGACGACCTGCAGCCGTGTGAGTGTTATTAAGGGGCAAAGGAAAGCGGAAACTCGGCACCAAGGTTTGGAAAGTCGAAGAGCCAGCCACGCGCGAAAGAAGCCGTCGGAAGGTTTCCAGACTGCTGGGTTCTGTATCTGTCAAGCATTGGACCGGCCCTACGCAGGGTGGTGATACAGGACGAGTGCGTAGTACGTTGGGTACATACGCAGGAGCTGCGGAGGCCAATCTGAGTGTGAAGTCGGTTCTAAGTACGCATGTACTCCCGTACAGTACGGAGGACTTGGTGCTGCTACACTCATGTACTACGTACATAGTTACTCGGTAAAGGATGCTTGCTTGTTGACTGGCGCTGGCTTCGCGGTCTAGATCTCGTCTAAAAGAGGAGAGCGCCGCCAGGTCTAGATGCATCCACAGTGCATTTCTTGTGTGGCTGCCTCGCTGCCCAAGGGCCGCGCCATCATTTGCACATAACCCAAGCCACTTTACCTTCTTTGCTCATCTGCGCCACCGTAGAACCTAACTAGTCAGACGTGAACCGGCAAAGGCAAGCCTCCTTGGCCTCCCCAGCACACGCCCGAGGCAGTACCCAGTGGAGGAGGGCAGTCGATCGCAAGAGCGAGGGGTTACAGGTATGGTGATGGGATGGCTTGGGGCGGAAAGAAGAGCTCGGGTTAGTGAAGGGTCCGCTGTCGACCCTAAGGGGAGACAGAGGCATGCATTCCTCGCGGAGAACCAACATTCAACATTTCTCAGAAGCAGTGAGACAGCTTTCCTAAGGCAAAGAGAAGGTGGTAAACAGGTGGTACTGGAGTAATGACTTAAATCAATAGTGCACGCCATTACAAGCAAAGGAAGAGCAAAGGAGAGAGGAGAGAGGAAAGGGGAAAAGGAGGCAGAGACAGCCGACGCCCAGTACTGGTATGCCCGAAAAGACGCCAAGCGACCAGTCTGAATCAGGCTAGTGGCATTCCGACCAGGTCCAGCATCTATCCCTAGAGTGGCTAATCATTATAAAGCTCTCCTACACAATACTCTCAGATCCGAAGAGGATGCCGTCGCTACAAAGAAAATACGTCCCAGCAGTAGAGACAAAAGAGATTGCACCCGCCGCCGGCGGCGAGAATGTTGGATTCCAAATGCGGAGATCGAATGACGCGTGAGACGTGGCAACCAGGGGAACCCATTCCATTTCCCAGATGTTTGTGGTAGGCCCTTGTTCGACACAATGACTTAAAGAGAGACATTTTAGATACTCTCCCAACGGTCGTGCTGGTGTTACTTTCCCTTTATCACTCTATCAACTGTTTTCACGACGGGGGTAACAGTAACGAAAACATTGCGCGATCATCAGTCGAGATTGAAACTTCCCCCAGAGACAAGCATCAAGTCGGGAGAAAACTTGCAGGGCATGGACAAGACAAGGCAGCCACAACCTGCTGGTGCGGCCATTCCTTTAAATACTGGCCCATCTTCCCAGATGGATGAACTCCCCTCCTACAATCTGCCCAACACTGGAAACAACCACGAGCCCAAGAGTCCTTCGAAAAAACACTGTTCATACTGCAGTTTGGACCATTACTGGAACTCAAGGCCTACAGAGCCAGACGTCGAGATGCGCCACCCGAGCCCTGTACTTAAGAACCTACCTTCACCGACCTTGACTTCCTTCTGCGGCGTCACGCTTGACCAAGCACGCCCGGGCCAACTCTCCGAATTTCATGTTATTGAGAATAACGGAGACACGGAGTCTTTGAGCCCGGAATGGGTGACCATGGCGGCTGAGGTTGGCGGACTCGAGGTAAATATCTCCTCTCTAAGCTGTTGACATTACCTACTAAACAAAAACCCCCTATAGCGGCTAAAGTCCCTTGTCACACCATCAGGCAGTGTTGTGTCGAAGAATGCTAGCGTGGCCGGAAATGAAGAAGCTATGCTAATATGCCATGCCTGCTTTTTGCACTTTCTGAATGTAACTGCTCTAGAAAATCGTTAGGTAGTCATGCGTTGACAGCTGCAATGCCTCAACTTCCTCTCTCAATGTTTCTTCCCCTCTTGCCCTGGCCCTTCCTTGATCCTCCCTTTCCCCGCCCCTCTCCCCTTCACCAATATACTTGGTATGTGCGATGTTAAATGAACAGCGTTCCGCTCATCCACCTTCTTCCCAATTCGCTCGTTTATATGTGTCCAGGCAAGTAAGAAGGCCGCTGTCGCCTGCCTCCATCTAGTACGTGCTCCCAAGGGGGCGTCTCATCCAGTGGAGAGAGACTACTCAACGTGCAGGGCATGGACTCGCGCGAGTCACGGGTCTGGATTCAATGCTGACTGGTTGACTGATTGATTCTGCTGATCGTGTCCGATTTACAGCCGGTTGATTCGAGATGGGCGTTTTTGGGGGGGTCCGTCTCGATCCCTGGGACGCACAATGTCGCGTGCGTGCGAGCTACCGTTGGGCGTTGAGCGGGCAGGGTTCACTGAAGTCTATGACTACCACGGAAGAGGTCGCTGGTCCGCAAGGACACAGAGACCATCTCTTTCCTGTGTCAGGGCGGCACTCGAGATTAGAGATGTCGCTCTCCCTCTAGGTTTGCTCCAGCTGGGCCAGAAACTCGTTGCTGGATTTCTCGTATTTCTTCAGAGACTCGTCCGTGTCCTTCCAAGCCTGCTGGAACTCGCCGAGGTAGTTGTGCCACTTGTTCTCGGGGTCGAGGCCCGCCTCCCCGATGCTCTCCTTTGCAAAGTCGATCCACGATATGCCTTCATCCGCGTATCCGTGTTCACGCAACAGATGGGCCAATCCGAGGTACTTTACGGCCATTGATCCCGTCTCGGGGGCCGAGAGCGCCGCGCTGACCGCGAGCCACTCGATGCCGGTCCAGTCTCGACGTTTCTTGTTCGGCTCCACGGGACGCCATCCGTCTTTACGGAGGTGATAGAATGCCAGTTGCAGCGCCGAGTCCGGGTCGCCAGCGCTGGCGGACTGTGTTGCAAGCTCAAGCCACTCCTTTGAGTGCTTTTCGATCACACCAGGCTGACGTAATGCAAAAGGAGCAGCTGCAAGGTCCGAGAACTTGAACAGCCCATCTCGAATAGCACTTTCGAGGTCTGATTGGACCTGGTCGTAAGCTGGACCTTGATCCAGGTAAGACAAGTACGAGTCCGCTGCATCATGAAGCACCCTCCACGGCAATTTGTAATTCTGGAGGAGAGACGGGTTCTGACGACGGAGCTGCTTGCTGGGTTCGACCATGTCGACTAAATCTTTGGCAAGATTATAATTCTCTCGTGCACTTGCTTCGGTGCCGCTTTTTGTCGACATTTCGTCCAAGTACAGTGTTATTGCTCGCCAATCGCTCCTTTGGAGTGCTTTGGCTTTGATAAAGTCAGAGATTCGCGGAGAAAGGCGATTCTCCTGTCGACCCATTGCGTTTCCTAGGGCGATTTCGGCAGCAGCAGCATCCACACCTGCATCGGTCTCTCCCGCAAAGAATGTCATGCGCAGGGCATCGCAGCCTTCCTGGCCTTTGCGGTTTTGCGTGTGGAATGCATTCTGGCCCAATGAATGAAACGCCTTGCGCAGAATCTGCGGATCCCGCATGAGAGCCACCTCAGCAGAGCCCAGACCTTCCTCTGACAATTGGATGAACCCTAAATCCACAGGCGTCAGCAGACGACGTCGTCCTCATAGTGAGCATATTGACATACTCTGTTGCGTGGTTGCGGATAGCAAGGCGTTTGCAGGAGGAGCTTGTTTCAGTTCCTGACAGAGACGCCTTAGCACCTTCACGACAGTCGGAATCGAAAAGAAGCCTAGGCCGTGCAATGCACTGGCAAGGTCGGGCGAGATGTAGTAGGAGCCATCCTTTCCCAAGGTCTGCTCCGATTTAGCCACCGTCTCGAGTGCAGCACCCGGCGTCTTCGGTTTGGCTGGTTTCGCGTAAGTGGGAAGCCGGCCTCTCTTCGCAGCCTGCAGAGGAGACGAGGACCAAGAGCGGTATATGAATCGGAATCGAAGGATTGAAGGACATAATTCATTCCTCAGTCTCGTCCTCCATGGCCCTCCGGACATGTCGCAAGACGTCTCAAGAGTGCGTCGCCACACATCAACTATTCCTCAGGCCCCACCCCAGCTTTTGGATTCTCTGTCCACTTGAGCAGCTAAGACCATCTAGGCTTTAGAAAACAGCTGAAGCGTAAAGTTGGGGTTGCTGGAGAAGCTTCGCGGGCTGGGTAAAAATTGGTCACGGCCCATCTGCATTGGGTTGAGGGTGACGCCGCCCTAATTAGTTATCCAGGTTGCAGAGTGTGGATAAGGCTGAGCGAAGCGAGTGTGAAGAGGGAGTCAACTGTGGCTGCCAAGCCTGCGGGTGGAAACCGTTTGCAACTTTCCTCTCCGCGGCTACAACCCACCCCCCAACTTCCATTTCTACTTGCCCAACTTATGAAGGTCAAAGGGTGATTTCCGATGTCCGAACTGCCAGGCACACACTCGCCCACTTCCCCGGTCTGTCCTGGAGATTCTCCTGAAATCTTTCTCGAAGTTCAAAGACAACCGAATCAAGCGCCACACCCGAGATGCCTGCTCCCGCTGGAACCAAGCGCGTGCGCGGGGTTCAAATCTATCGTCCCTTCATCTACGGCACCGAAGCAATTCCCTTCGACCCTGAAAATCGTCCAAGGGACGCGCCACCCGATCATACACACAAGTGGAAAGTTTTCGTCCGCGGGATCAACAATGAAGACATTTCATACTGGCTACGAAAAGTGCAGTTCAAACTCCACGACACCTACGCTAATAGTGTTCGCATGATCGAGAGTCCCCCGTTCGAGGTGGAAGAGACGGGCTGGGGCGAGTTTGAGATCGCCATCAAGTTCTACTTTGTGCCTGAGAGTACGGAGAAACCGCAGCAGATCTGGCACGGACTGAAATTACACCCATACTACGGGGACATTGAACAGCAGAAGAAGGACAGGTCATTGATCAGCAGCGTCTGTTATGAAGAGGTGCTCTTCAACGAACCCGTGGAGGCTTTTTACGAGATCCTGACCGGAGGTGCTCAAGTGGGCAAGTCAAAGGCTGGAAAGGCTGGAAAGGCTGGAAAGGGGTCCATTAAGGCGCCGCCCACCGCTGAGATTCCCATGAAAAATTCTCCAGGCAACAAATTTAGCAAAGAAGAAGAAAGTAAGGAGCTGGATCGTCTGGGAGAAGCCGTCAAGCAAGTTCAGAGATTGATCGCGGAAGAGAAAGCAAAACTTACGAAAGAAGAGGCAAGACTCCAAGAGCTGGAGAAGACTGAGGGCAAGCCCTTGAAGAAGAAATGAAGAGATACGAATGTGGTCACAGGAAAAGTGTCACATATTATGCGGGTTTCCAACGACCTTGGTAATCATAGCCTGGCCCTTGCAGCAAGAGACTCCTTGACCAGCTCAAGTATTCTCTCAGCGGCACCCCAGCTCAGCTCATAGCCTCGACCACCAGCGCCGTACCCGTGGACAAGAGTTCTCCCGGGTCCAACGGACTCGATTTCGATCCGATAGCCACCTTCTCGCCACGGCCTTCGACCAACATTATCTTGCACCACCTCAAATTTCTCCACCGAGTCGACGAAGTCAGGAAACGTCTCAACACACTGTTGAAGCAGTTTTGCCCTGGTCTCCGGCCGTGCGGTTGCCTCCCAATCATCGACCTCCTTGGTTCCGCCTACAATCGTCCCGCCACGTCGAGGCCGTGGTATCAAGAATGCCCAACTCCCATCCGCGTTCTGTCGAGTGATTGTCTTGGTGTATTGCTGTCTGACCAGCACTGTCTGCCCACGGATGATCTTCATTTTGGGATCACGATCGAAATTTCTTCCAGAGCAGTTCACTACCACTGGGACGTCTCCAGTTCGATCGCCGTCCGCCAGGGTGAACGCGTCAACTGCGTTAGAGAGGCGGTGTTGAAGAATTCGTCCCCCGTTCGCCAGAAATCGGCCCATCAACCAGCGACAATATATCGAAATATTGACGCAATAACTTTGGTATTCACATCCCCATTTTGCACCTTGAGGCAACGCATCCTGCGACAGGATGCGGAACTCATCATTTGCACCAGCATACACGTCCCCATTCCTGATTTTGAAAATCTCCTCGGGCGGATTCTCAAGGTACTCGACCCCAGGCATGAATTCTACTCCCGAATCTGGAAATTCTCGGGCGATACCTTTCATGACCTCCGCCGTACGAACCCCCATCCTAAATTCCTCTTTGAGTTGTTCCGTGGAGAGTGGATGGATTGGGCGGTAGTGGGCACCTGCCCACATGGAAGCGTAGTCTACTGATGGGGATGGTGTATTGGGTGTTTCGGCGGCGACGATGGTGATGTTTGCAGTTGAGAGGTGCTTTTGGAGGAGAGTTGCGGTGCTAAGGCCAGTGATGCCCGCGCCGATGACGAGAATGCTGGGTGGGCTTGTTTGCGGCATAACGAGATATGTTTTCGAGGTCGATCGTAGCCTGCTACGGTAACAGCCAGAAGATGGGTGTTTCCTGTGGGGGAAATGTGCAGAGGATGATAGGGAGAACGGAGTGTCTTGCTCCAATTCTACCAGCTTGATTCCTCTCGGTCGTACCCGTGCAACGCGTAGTACGGTCCCCAGCATTCAATGCAGATCCTCTAAATCGCTCGAACCTCTTCGATCGACTTCTCTGGACTCCTTCACCGTGCGAGCGTGCTAGTCAATACGTTTGCAAACCGGGCCCGAACTCAGCCTTCCTTTAAACCCGTAGACAATGGCGGATTCGCCTTGCAAACGTCCCGTAAACCACCTTTTGACTACTCCAACTTGTATTGCCCAGAGCTTGGGACGCGATGACGCTGCACAGCGCACTGAAGGCGTGCGGACAGGCACCTAGGTAGCTAGGTGGGTCGGTATGTTGGTAGATATGTAGATAAGTGTGTGCCTTGGGTACATAGGGACGGAGGTCCGCACCAGAGGGACAGTGGTAGCGATACGATTGAGTGATGATGAGTTTGAAGAAACCACATACAGACCCTGGGTGAGTGAGGGGTCCATCGATCACCCGCATATTACATACAAGTACATAGTACCATCACCATAATGTGTACCTTGGTGGCGAGAGTAGTACAAAGTAGAGGACAGATGCGGGTACGAACCGGAGAACGCAGTACCACCGCCGCCGCCTCCAGCAGTGTTACACCAAATTCCTGGGCGCTGGTGGCGTGTATTTTAAAGGGCGTACGCGTTCAACTCCGCTGTGCGAGGAACTCCCACCCGTAAATACCTCCACACCTAACGGCAGTGTGTTTATATACTTGATAGGTAGGTACGGAATAATGTCATCCAGGGCGAGGAACGCAGTATTTTCCAAAATGCAAGTCCGTGGTCGCCAGCGTTGCTCGTAGAGAATTTCCTGCAATACAAAATGTGTTGACTTGGTGCGTGATCCATGTCGAGACGGACTCATGGTCAATCTATTCGGGGTGCGTCTCTCTCTTCCCCCCCTCCCCGCGAAAAGGTCCGCTTCGTCCACATCACATGGCTGTCCCTCTCTCGAAGCTCTCCCTGATATCCCTCGTATACCGATCATAAAACCTCGCCAACTTGAGGTTGAACTGCTTGTTCTTGTCATTGATATACGTGACATCCCCTTCGTCCACGTCGCGCCCTCTTTCTCTTCTCTTTTTAAATCGCGCCTCTTCTGCCTTTCTCAGGTCATCCACAAGGCGATCAACGTTCTCCCGTTTGGGCTTCTGTTCCACAAACCCTAGACTGTCGTGGTCCGCGTAGAACCGCCCGTCTTTATCGATGGCGACAAGGTCGCCATTCTCCATTTCCACGATTTCCAGTCCTCCGGTACGTGCGGCGTTTTCCAAAATTTCCGCCTTTTGTCGCTCGTATTCTTCACGGCTGCGATGGCCATCCTTCAGAGAGTTCTTCTCCAACTCGCGTATCTGGCGATCATACATCCTTGCAGCTTCGTCACTCCAATCCGAAAACGCATTGTTTTCCCTTGCGGTCTTTTTCCGTTCCTGCTTCTCATCCCATCTCTCGCTCTCTTCGATGGTGTAGTCCCAAGCTCGCTTGCGCTCGAACGCACCCTTGCCTTCTTCTTCTTCGGTATCTGCTTTAAGAAGGTTGTGCTGCGCGATTGCTGAGCGTCTGTTAAGGTTGGCGAGCAAAGCTGGATCCATTGCTGCGCGGTTGGCTTCCGCTTTGGCTTCGGCGAGGTTGGACTTCGCGGACTGAGTAGCGCGGGATTTGAGAGCCGCGAACCGGGCGAGGCGGTCTGCATTTGTGGTTGATGGGATAGTGGTGGCATTTGAGGGAGCATCTACTGCTGCCTCATTGGGCTGTGATGTCGACTCTTCTCTATCATTGTCTGTCTGGTTCCCAACCGGAGGTGTCGCTGCCCGAGCCCCATCCGTGTCTAATTTTTCCGTGACCTGAGATGATTCTCTAGTATCGTCGGCATCATCTTGTGGCTCTACGGGCTCTGGGCTGAGCTTGCGCCGCTTAGACGGAGGCATATTGGTAGCTGTAGGGTGATCAGTGTTTATAGAATCTCTGGAAGACAAAGGTTTGTGCATGTCCTGGAAGTTTGAGAATTCGCCGGTTGGAGGGCTGGTGCTCGCCGCACCTTCCTTTTTGTGCTGCCCTTGGTCAATGACGCATCGATTCTCCCAAAAAGTCCACGAAATCTTGCTCTAACAAGTAGTGGTGTGAGAGGGGTGTCGACTGGTGACCGAGAGATCGTTGAGAGCAACAAGTTGATATACCGCTGCTCAGTTCAGTAATGGCACAGGCCGCCAAGAAGAAGTTGGTGGTTGCAGGAGGCAACGGCTTTCTCGGGTCGCGGATCTGCAGAGCCGCAGTCGGCAGAGGTTGGGACGTTACCTCGATAAGGTAGGTGTCGTGCCCGAGATATGTGTGAAAAATGCAATACAGCTTACAGGTTCTCAGTCGTTCAGGCGAACCTACATGGTCCTCGGTGACCTCCTCGCCAGAGCCACCGTCCTGGTCCAAATCCGTGAGCTGGGTAAAAGGCGACATCCTGAAGCCCACGACCTACACCTCCTCCCTAAAGGATGCCGACGCGGTTGTTCACACGATGGGGATCTTACTGGAAGCAGACTACAAAGCCGTGCTATCTGGCAAGGAGTCACTGTTCTCAGGTCTATCGAGGGCGTTCAGTTCCACCAAAGCCGGGAGCTCCAAGAACCCACTCGACTGCAAACCAGGCGAAGGTTTAGAAAGGGGCGAAAAAGACGGCCAAATCACTTATGAGTTGATGAACAGAGACTCCGCCATAGCACTAGCACAAGAAACCGAGAACGCTGGTGCACAGACGTTCGTGTACATCTCCGCCGCGGCGGGTGCGCCCATGCTCCCCTCGCGATATATTACGACAAAGCGAGAGGCGGAGAATACTATAGCAAGCCAGATGACAAAGCTGAGGAGCATCTTTGTAAGACCAGGGTTCCTGTGGGATAACAGCCGCAAGTTCACGCTGCCTATAGCTGCCTCGGGGATGGTTGGGAGTACAGTGAATAGTATGATTGGAGGCAGCTTAACCGGTATATTCGGTGCCGCGGTCGAGAAGCCTCTGAAGGTAGATTTGGTTGCGGACGCTGTGGTCGAAGCCATTGCCGACGAGCAGACGAAGGGTGTCGTGGATACAAAGACGATCGAGGCATTGGCTGCAAAAGCCTGGCGGAAGACAATGCTGTGATGCGAGTCCACTGCTCATGACTTGTACAATAATCAAAACGGCGGAATTGGCAATATGGGGGCATGTATGGGAGCATCCTGAACTGTTTCAGCCCCAGCATTCGGAACTGGTACGTTAGGGGGACGGATGATAACGGTGGGCAGTGTATATTAACATTTTAGTGGCTGAATCCTCCTCATCAAATATCAAGACATCAGTCGACAAACCAAGGATCTGTCTCTCTCCTAGGGCCTTATCCGGCATCGAGCTGTGGTACCGGCGACTCTGCTTCCACAGGTCGGCATCTTGCCAAAATCTATCATACACTCCACCTCCTGAGACGCCTTGTATCATACCATTCCCGCTATGCTTTACCACATTCGAAGAGTGAGGATCATAGAATAGACATCGATCGGTCGCAATTGTGCGCTGCTCTGAAGACATGCACGACAGAGAAGGGCATTTTTGTACAAGTGGAGGTCCGCCAAAAGACCAACAGCTTAGATGGTCGCGTGTGCTGGAGCAATCATCTGTTCTTTCGCCTCTGCATGTTCGCCCGGTTCGAAAATGACTTTGCGAGTCAACTGGCGCATGGATTAGCAAAAGTATAGGTGTTGCGACGGAGGAGTGGTGACTTACAGTCCACATTCCCGCAATGGAGCCCACAATACCACTTGAGATCAACATTGGTTTCAGACCTCTGGTGCTCTTGAAAATGGCCCCGCTTAATGCACCGGCCACAATGCTGTTGGTGGCATCATGTTTGCCGCGATAATATCCTATCGTTGAGTTTACTCCGTTGTAGACCATCGCCACCACCCCAGCCGAGTTACCCAGAAAAGGTCCTCTTCGGGTGATGCTGTTCAAGACGCTGTTTAATCTTAGCTTCGGAGGCGCGGATGCCGGTGTTCGATTCAATCCTTCTATTAGACCCCATATGCCTCCCGTTGTCAAAGCCGTAAGGTATACGACTCCTGTGCCGTAACACAAGTCATCGGACCAGCCACGTGAGGGTAATATGGACCTAGAGCCAGGGAGGTCTGAGAGTGCCGACTCGTCTAGCGTCAGGTAGTCGAGTGTCTGTTGGTTCAAGCCGGCCAGTGGATGAAGTTTAGATGCATCGGGTAAAGATGCGCTCCCAAGAAAGGAGGACACGTCTGTTGCAGTGGAGGGATCGAATTGTGTAGGCGTGAATGGTGAAGGCGACGATGAGGATGAAGAAGCAGTAGATTGAGGATGGGTAGAGGCTTCCGAATGCTGCCTCGAGGACTTTTTCCCGGTAAAAGCGTCCCAGACGGACATGTTGAGCTGTATTAAAGGGAGGAAATTACAGAAATAAAGAATGCACTCGAAGCCAGAAAGGTGACAGGCGATCGCAATTGCAGTCGCAGTCGCAGTCGCAGGTGGGCGCAGAGGACAGACAGAAAGTTGAATTCGGCCGGAAGAAATTGTTCGAATGCGGATCATTCAAGATACGCTCGAATCCCATTATTTCGACGCTAGTCCCAATAAGGGATGGCTTCGGCTACAACACTTTCCACTTCTTTTTTCCCCTTTCGAAAAACTCCATCAATGTTCGAGCATGCATACACAATGAAGACCGTTCTGACTGTGGTCCTCGAAAAGAGAGTGCCTCTACGGCAATGATGGAGGAGATTCGCGGGCTCCAAACCATCTGGCTCACTGCGATTGATCGGAGACTGTGGCCCGACCTGATATCAACAATATGGATCCCGTGTCTTGCGCCATAAGAGCAGAAGTCCCGCTTCCCATTTCACTTCTTTCAGAGCTAGGGAAAGGCTCGCTCAGAAATTCACTGGGCGACAATGATCGTAGCCAGGACGTCTCCCAAATTCTGGCTCTCTGGCGCAAGCTGGTTCTCACAGCAACCAGCCCTCGAGTGGCCGACAAACACATAACTTCGGCGTCAAATGCTCTGTGTGTCTATCTACATGGGGCTGTCGCGAGTCCTACTTTCGAGCTTCGAGAGTTCGTCCTCTCCCGGGATGTGTGGTTTGAAGCTTGTCATTGTGCCCACAAGGCGTTCAACGATGGCAAAACGAAGGCAGCATTCCAGATAATGGACGCTCTCTGTGACCTGCTTGACAAGCAGAGGGATCCAGAGGTCTTCACTGAGATCCTACGGCGAGCCTCCCTTCCTTTAGTGAGGATTGTCTTGCTGTCATTGCCTCGATCGGAGATTAAGAAGGCTTGCCTCATCCTAGCATGCCTTCACCGGAGGACATCACTCCTTGAGGATCTTGATCAGTTGGTCCAGCATTGCATTGATGAAAACCATTTTCTATGGACACAGCTACTGTCACAGCATAATTTCACGTTGGACGATATCTCCGCTATTGGACACGAGAATATCCTCCAGTTCTTGCTTGCCCTGGTCTTCGCAATGACCAATCTAGACACGAGAAGTGCCGCTCTCAAGGTTTGCTCCGTGCTCTGCAGTGATGCTTCTAAGCCAATGGGATCACCAAGTTTGCAGGCTCTGGCTGAGCATGTCATAAAGTTGTATCTGGAGAAAAACCATGCAGCCCTTGGTGACTTTGCAGAGAATGTCTTGCCGGTTATTCTGGACAGCAAAGAGAAGTTCATGGCTTTCGTTCAACCGTATTCTCAGTCCTGTCAAGAGAGCGAATCAAGGATGACCTTGTTTATTGCTACCCTCAAAGTCGGTCGAGCAAACTCAATCTTGACAGAATCTGGTATGTGTGCTCGCTGACCCTGGGTCGTCCGCGCATCGCTGACATCGGTCTACTCCTTAGAAATGTTAAACCTTTTCGTCGCGGCGTTTCCGCCACTTCCTTCCCCGCTCAGTGATGAGCCAAAGATGTTCTATTGGTGTAAACAAATGTTGATGGCCGCTGATCCCGAAGTGCGTACCCTTATATACGGACTGCTGGTGTCGTCGCCTGCTACAAATGCTATTGTTTTGCCTGAGACCCTAGAATGCATTGCTACTAGCATGAAATATCTACATGATGATGCAGACGCCCATGAGAGGGGTGAAATTTTGAGCATCACTAAGAGACTGCTACGAAGGCTTCAGAACAGCGTTTTGACTCTACGAAAATCAGCACATCTCTTGCACAATGGCAAAGATGTCGAGGCCGTACTGGACTCGTACAGATCCTTTACGAAGACTTTTTACGACTTTCTGAAAGAGGAGCTGAACACTGGAATATCTTACCCGCGTCACATTCTTGGATTGCTTTCTCTACAATATCTGCTTGATCTTGGAATGGAGCTTGACATGTTCGCAAGCGACAAGGGCCTCACGACAGTTTTGATATGTCTCGTGCTCGATCCGTTCGAAGACGTTCGGAGCATCGCAGCAGCTATTCTCCAAAAACTTGCCATTAAAGGTAGAAGCTTGGTTGCCAGTGCTATAGACCATGGTCTTCTCGAAAGGGTCGAGGCGCTGGCTATTAAGACCCTTCGCGCTGATCATGCCGACGCTATGGGTCGGCTTTATGCTCTGCAAAGCTTCTGTCTTTCGCCGCTCAATGGGCCGCATCCAGATGCCCTAGACACAGATATGATAAAAGTCATACGTTACCTGGAGCAATCAATAACTGGAAAAGAAGCTATCGAGTTGAAGCCTGGATGTGCTATTCCAATCCATGCACTTTTGCTGGCCACGTATTATCGGCTACGGCACCTGAAGCGCCAGGATGAAGAGACCACATACATTTGCTCCACGCTTGTTAATGTCTGTGCGAATGTCTGGAATCAAGTGCGACTCCAGCTTTGCGTTGATTCCCCGGAGACCGCCTCTGAAGTCGAGGTGGAAATCACGAGTGAAGGGCCAAAGGACCTTCTTTCTTATTCTTGGAGGGCACTTCGAGATTCGAGGTGAGTTTTATACCCGAGGCTGGATAGTATAACTGACATGACCAGCCTCGTTCTTCAATCGTTGATTCTTGTTGCAACACCCTCTCAGGAGTTTTGGTCTGCAGTTGGTGACCTCTGCATGGATCAGTTAATTTCGCTACGACATCGAGGAGCCTTCTCAACAGTTGCTCAGACCTTCAGTCAATGTTGCGATAAAGTCAGGTCATCTCCCGAGTCAGCAGTGCGTGGTCTCATTCACAGATGGTATCAGGTACGTGACATGGCATGCTCCACGTCAGATTTAGGGGACTAACAGTTATAGATTGCCTTGGATCAAATCAACGAGCAAGCAAATCGGCTAACGCGACGTTCTGCTGGTCTTCCAGCAATGATTGCGACACTCCTAAGCCCTGCCGACTCGGATTTTTTCTTTTTTGCGATTAGCGACCTTATGGCTATTGCAGAGCGAGCGACGGATAGACTTCTTGATCCCGAGATCGAAGATATGAAACTGCCACAGGTTCACGCATTGAATTGTCTCAAAGACATCATGACGAATTCGAAGTTTGCAGCTGTCGTGGTCCAATATCTCGAGAGGATGCTGGAACTTGCTGCTACCTGCCTGTCGTCCAAAGTTTGGGCAATACGCAACTGCGGGCTCATGCTCTTGCGCGCCTGTATCAACCGTTTTGATCCTTCGAGCACACGTGAGGCAGTCGAGTCGACGCATCAGCCCTATGAGAAGGGGGAAAGCAGTACTCCATCGGCAATTGCGTTTCGTCTCCTTGATGCGCCGACATTCAGCTCTGAGAGTGCTCGCAGCAACAGAAGTAGTGCCACAGAGCTTGTTTTTGCTGGCCTTGATCTTCTTGGACATGCGATTCTCGGTGTCTCTGAGGCAGATGAAGCTGCAAGGCTTGTCATGGAACAATTGACAAACCCGACTTGGGCTATTAGAGATCATGCGGCTCTGCTATTGGCAACTCGCCTACTCCGCGGAAGTCCTGGAGAAGCGATCGTAAAGCTGCTGCAGGAGATTGGTCTGTCTGGTCCGGAGAATCAAGTCCACGGCGTTCTACTCTGCTGCCGGTACCTGATGGGACGAGCTACAGTCATCATTACCTCAACCGAGCTTGATTCCATCACCGAGTGCCTCGTCAACAAGATGGTGCATCCCGATGGGAGTCTGCTCCCTCACTCACCTTACGTCTATGCTGCTTGGTTGGATTTATTGAATGGTGTCGCTTCCTGCATTCTTGAAAATAATTGGGGACAAACCGTGCGCAGAATGCAACGCTTGGAAAGCCTAGTTCCGTTCGCTACACGAATTGATCTTGCACACTATCCATACTTGTCTCGAAGGATATTGCTTTACAAGACCTACTACATTTTGATTGACGATACGCATCCGGTCCATTCAAGCAGGGATTTGAAGAGTCTGGCGAGCCAATGCGTTTGGGATGCAGATGCTTTGAGCTTCGTCTTGGACCTCTTGAGTCAAAAGCATTGCCACAAACCGTCTCGAACTTTGGTCGAACTTCTGATCTGTCTCATCGATGAAGGATACATGCAGCCATGCCTTTCACCGGGCGTTCTCGAGCAGATATATACATGTTTGGCGTTATGTCTCGATCATATTTCAGACGTATCCATCGACTTGCTACGAATACTTTTCGACCGCTTGGATTTCTCACAATTGCATACATCGCGGGATTTAAGGAATGCGTCGCTGAAGTTACAGGCGTCAGTGTTGGGAAGGATTCAAACTGCCCACCAAGGTTCTATTTTGTGTGCACAGCAAATCGAAGGGTGGCTTCATGCCGTTCAGGACATCTCGACTGACTACCTGGACTTTCCTACGAGATTGAGTGCTGCAAAAGCGATTTCTACATACATTGAGTTTCTGAGACTCTCTGGTATCATGGAGCTCCGGCTTAATGTTCGACTCCAGCTACTCTTGGTCCTATACGATTTGTTGAATGACGATGACGAAGAGATCCGGCTCGAAGCAGTACATGCGGCCCGCAAGCTCGGATTACATCAGAGAGATGCTATGGGCAATTTGGACAGCTGTGCCTTAGCAGAAAGGGAAAACCTGCTATCTGAGCTTGCGCGCCAATTCGGTCAGACCTCAAATCTTGCTGAAGCTGCGATTGTCAATATTTTGCGAGTCGGACATAATGCGAGCGATTCCTTCCTTCATGGCTCATTGATCTCGTTGTTTGAGACCTCGGTGAATTCGAAGCTGCTCAGTATCTCGAAATCGAAGAATGACTTGTTTGCCGAGGAAAGACAGAATTTGTACATGGACGATATCCGGGAGATCAAGGAATGGACACAGCTCCTTCGTAATGGGACTTATGCACTTGCGACCCAGGAGCTCTCAGAGTCAGCGATGAGATGGACGCTTGAAGGCTTGGATCAAGTTCTCCAACTTCTTGAAGCTGATGGTACCACAACTCCTGTACATCATGTACATCAAGCAACCACCCACAGCAACGAAGAAGAGGTGGAACACCGACAGATCAAGCTATATGATCCCTCAATCGAGTCGCTGTTAGGACATCCACTAGGCTTAACCTATGACCATGAAATCTTGGTTGTGATGATCCAAGTCGTCAGCTTGGCTGGGGTGTTCATTCAGCATGATAGAACGATCCAGACCCGGCAACTGCGAGTAAAGCTGGAACAGATAAAGGAAATTCTAGCGTGCTCGGATTCAGAAGTGAATCCAGTGGTATTGGGTGTGGTCCAACGCGCTTTGCGAAGCCAGTGAAGCACAAACACTGCCCCAACAACTAAGGACCGACTTTGTTGAAAAACCTTTGCAACTTGAACACGCTCACGATACAGATTTGGTTCGAGCATATCATATACTCCTTTGGTACCCAACCTAGATCCTCCGTCGCCCTAGACCAAACCGCCGCGGACACCCACCCTGAAAGACCCTCTACCATCGGCCGTATGTAACATATATATCCATATACCCTTTTTGCTCTAGACGTCCGGGCTAATCCAATACCTAGGTACAGCCATTTCCGATAGCGTCATATTTGAATCTTCAGTCAAAACAGCCGGAGACCATGAATGCAGGTCTGACAATCCTGATATGCTTTGTCGTCATCACACCACTCTGCGTCTGGGGAGGATGGAAATTCTGGATGCCGATGATGCAGGAACACATGGCGATGCTGGAGGAAGGCGAACGGCGCGCGGCAGCAGGACAGCCGCAGGGCGTCAGTGCAGGTTGACCCACGACAATAGCTGAACGGCTGTGCCAGGAATGCTGATGTCGCGGAAGAGATCTCGAGTGGGAACAAGGTGTAAAAGGCAAGCATGACATGTGTATTGGAATTTGAGCGCAGTTTCTGGCAAACGGGCGACGGACCGCTTTTGCTCCTCTGCAACTTCGCCGTTGACCACGATGTTGAACAATACAGACCCGAGGGTTGGCTGCATCCATTGACGAGGGAGGATGCCTTGACTTCACCTTTCACTGCCGGCTGACAATTTCGCCAAATATGACCTTCTCGACCACTTCACCTACACCTCACTCTCGTCATCAATCAACGTCTCCTTCCTCCTTGCCTCCTGTAATCTGCTCGGAGCCTGACCTGCCAGCATGTCGTTCACCACTCAAATAATCACAGACACCACGACCACGGCGGTCATCATCTCGCCAACACTCATCAGCGACATCACCACTACCGTGACTTCTCATTTATCCACCACTCTCTTCGCAACCTTCGGTCAAACTGTCACAATCCATTCTCCTTCCTCACTTTCGACAACCACAGTCATTGTGCCCGCGACGAAGTACACACCAGTCACGAGAGCAACCACGCAGACATCAACAATCACCCTGACCGAGTTAGATATCTACCTCCAAGATGACGGCGGAAGTATCTATTCGACGTGGATCATTCCCTTCTCGGGTTCTCCTCTGCCAGATCCAACCCACACGCAGGACGCGGGTCAGATAGTCTACGTGGTCAATCCTGATGATGGAGGATGGGATCACTGGCGCACAGGTGAAAAAGTGGGCATGATTGTCGGCATCGTGCTGGGTGCGATTCTCTTCTTCGGGATCCTCTTTTGGTGCGTTCGAAAGAAGGGACAAGGGAAGTGGTGGTTTGCGCATGTGTGGCCGCATTCAACGACAGTGGCGCCGGCAGTGGATGCAGGAGGTCCGTCGTTTGTACAGCCTCCCATGGTCAATGGGCCGATTGTGCCATATCAGTATGGCCATGGTTACGGGTATGGTGTTGGATTGAGTGGGCGATGATGGCAGAAGCTGGAAGGCAAGCTGAGAACGGAAGTTGTTGCAAGTAGGACGGAAGAGAAGAAATGCACCAAAATCAGTCATGGCGAGGACATGAAATAGTGTTTATGGGGATGGAGAGCTTCATCCTTTCAGCCACTGCGAACGCTGAGAGCTATTTCCCATCACAATGGATGTGGAGGGGATTGCGGTTCAAGGGGAGGCGTGCAGCGAGCGAGGTTTGGAGGAAGCTGGAACAGCCACGATGGCTGGCGATTGCACTGGCCTACGTTGAGGGCTTGCCATCGACTCTGCAACATCCATAATCCCTTTGAAATTCAAGAATATGGTGAAAGAGTTACTCTTCGTACCTTTCTCAAACTTCTTCTCACTGAGCTGGTCCGAGCGCCGTGGAGCGACCAACCAATGACGTGGCTGAGCGGGCGGGAGTGCATCCTACGTCCCCAAGCATCGTCAGTGCCTCTAACAATTGAAGGTGTGCCTTCTCCCCTTCTCACCACTATCACTCGCTCTTCTGCTTAACAATGAACCCTCCACGATAAGGGCCTGCTATTCATCTTACCCCGTATCCGATCGCCCTGACAGTCTCTCCGTCGCATGTCAGTCTAAGATGTGGCAGGACGACGAGGATAACAACCCGTACGGGTCATTTAACAACCAGGACTCCTCCGTTGAACCCTCCAATCCAACTCTAGGCACCTCCTGTATGCGTTTGCATCAAAGCCTATCTGAGGCGTCTGCTAACATTCCAGCTCAGACTCCTCAGAGCAACCGACTTCGCCTACCTCATATTCTACTTCCTCCAACCAAGCCTCACAGTTCCACGACGACGATGACGACGAGGAAGAGGAGGACGGGGGCCAGGTGGAGAGTGGCCCTGTGCCTCCCAAAGGCGGTTACGACAGCAGAGTACAGCAGATCCTTTATGAACAACCCGACCTGGAAATCGTCATTACGGACGCAGGCAAGAGCGCGGATGGAGGGTACATTGTGTACAAGATCCGGACTGCCGTAGGCAAACCCTGCGGGATCTCGAAGCATACAGACTAGTCAACTGACAAGTATTGCAGGACATCGAGGTTGCAAGGAGATATTCAGAGTTCAGTTCACTGCGCGCCGCTCTGATCAACCTCCATCCCACATTAATCATTCCTCCAATCCCTGAGAAACATACTATGGCGGATTATGCCGCCAAACCCACAAAGGCAAAGGAAGACGTCGGCATAATCGACCAGCGAAAACGTATGCTTGCAGTGTTTTTGAACCGTTGCCGGAGAATGAAAGAGGTGGTCGAGGACGGCGTCTGGTGGAGATTCCTGGATCCGAATTCAAGCTGGGTAATGGCTGGCCATGTTACTTGTCTGCTTACCCGGAGGCTGACCCTGTCGCGCAGAATGAAGTCTTACATGCCCATCCAGTATCTTCTGTGCCAAAGAACAATCTGAAAGCGCCCCCTCTGGACCCAGCGAACCCAACTCCTGCTCATAACTGGTTACCCATTCCTTCTTCCTCTGCCAAACTCAGGCCCTTTGGACCAACGTCTTCGACTGGAACGCCCATATCTCCCCCGGATCAGACCTTCCCGTCAGTCGCATCGCATACGACACCCGGTCCCCAAGTCTTTGGACGGTTCCCCGTGAACTCGGAGAGACTCAGCGAGACGGACCTTGACCCTTACTTTATCAACTTCGAACAGAATACGCGGGAGCTCGAGATCCTATTACAAGGCAGTATTGAAAAAGTGAACCGCCGCACTATCGAGCATTTGACCAAGCTTTCCGCGGACCTCGCAGAGCTGGGTGCGCGGTATAATGGATTCTCACTCTCCGAGCAGTCACCAACTGTAGCAGCAGCAATCGAGCGGATAGGTCAGGCTGTTGACAGCACCTATATCTCAACCGAGGAGCTATCGCTGAGCTTGGGGGCCACATTCGCCGAGCCTATGAGGGAGAGTGCACAATTTGCAGGCGTGGTTCGGAATGTGCTGAAATACAGAGTCCTCAAACGAGTGCAGCAAGAGATGACCAGGGAGGACTTGGAGAAGAAACGGCATCTCCTGGACCAGCTGGAGCGCAGTGAGTCAGAAGCGAAACGGATTGATGCGTATCTGGCCGGGAGCACCACACTCGCGAGCCCACCTCGGCGCTCAGCGTCGAATGCATCCGCAAGGGGCCCGCCAGAGAGAAGGGACGGACAGCACGAAGAGACCGAATCTGTTGACTCTGACTTTCCACCCACTCACGGCGAGCCTCCATCATCGCCCCCTTCGGCTGCACAAGGTCAGCCGCAGCAGACTCCACCCTCACCAGCAACACACAAAAAGTCTCCCAGCGGCAACTTTGTGACCAACAAGATATTTGGCAGCTTCAGACATGCAGTGAACGGCTTTGTGGATGTTGATCCGGAAAGGACGAGACGGGATCAGATTGGGAAAACGCGTGAAAGCCTGATTCACCTGGAACAGGCTCTAGAAGTGTCGGAGAAGGACGTCCACGATGCCACTCAAGGAGTGATGCGAGACTTGAAGAGGTTCCAGAAGGAGAAGGAAGACGACCTTCAGAGATACATGGTGCGTGCTCTACAGAAAGAGTCCTGGAGTTACATTCTGGCAAACTTGGACTTGAAACTAACTTTGCGTGCTTATATAGGTCTCGTATGCACGATGTCATATCGAGTGGGCGAGAAAGAATTTGGAGACATGGTCGGAAGCGAGGGATGAGGTGGACAAGATTGTTGCGAGATAATTTCGGCTGAGCCCTGAGAAGCACTTGTTTTGTTGCAGCAGGCTATTATCCAAGTGCGGAACAGTGGGCTAGGGCAGCCGCGAGGCTAGTGAGGCGTTGCGAAAGCCTTGTTGCTGCTGTGTCAGCCTCGTCTATTTATGATGGACCCAAACAGGCGGACAAAATATACGTCACCTATGGCTTACTACTAGTATGACAGCAACAACACATTATTGTCCTTTGGGACTGTGGTGACCTGGATTCCACACTTAAGAGGGGATAGTCTTGCTGTTTGCTTGGATGTAGGAGTGGGAGTGACGGTTGACTTGTCTGGGTGAATACGCGGCTCGGGGTGCGTAGGCCCGCGGCTCGGCTAACAAGATTTTCAGAAAGGCGATTGTCCTTTCCAGAACAAAGGCTTGCCATAACACAATCAGTCCCAGGACAGTTGCGACCCTATTTGAAGGCCTTCCCATATTAATATTAATAATTCTGCCAGTTGTGGCTGAGGCTGGTGAGACCTCCGCGTGCCATTGCAGCCCTTAGCTCTTCGCCGCAGTCAGTACTTCCAATACTTCCTACCTAGTACTACGACTGCCCTTTGCACTTTCGTTTTCTTAGCGCAGGCAAACTGCCAGTGAAGTCGGCAGCCACCAGGCTGGGATCCACCCGCAACTCTGGCCCTCACATTCTGCGGGCGTCATTTTCAGACCCTCATCTTCTGCGAGGTACACGCTCATTCTTTCGACAGTCAGATTTTCGCCCTGTTGCTCCCTCTAATTCATGGTCCTGGCGTCACTTTCGATCCTGGACCTCATTTTTACCACTCCCTCCGAGCACTCCCGCCCGGGACATGCCCGCTTCCTCTCAAAAACTTCCCAATCACCAGAACCAGCATCTCTCGCAATCCAAGGATGATTTAGGCAGGCACCTGCGCTCCGCTTCCCCTGCTGTTAAGAGGCCGGCGTCTGATATGGGGGCCCAGGATAGAGAGTCCTACAACAGTGACGTAGAAATGGGCGAAGGGCAGTTGCCGCGCTCTGGGCCTGGGCTCACGCCCGTCAATCCAGACCACGCGCCTCCGGCTACCCAAGACACTTTGAAAGCAAAGCAGCAAGACACGGGCTTGAGACATCGCGATATATTAGCGACAAATCGACTGACCCACACAAGTGATCCTCGCGCCGTCCAGCAAAGCGCTGCTTCTCTGTCCGACAACAGCGGCAGTTCGACCACGGATTCCCTCTTTCCTAGTCCCTCCAACCGATCTACTGCGGCCACTTCGTTGAACGCTGATGTTCCCTCCACCGCTACGTGCATACCTTCTATCGACGACCAGATCGCGCAGGTGACAACTCTCTGGCAGAAAGAGCTTGAAGAGGGCCAAAAGGGTTATGTCATTTCCGCAAAATGGTTTCAGAAAGTCCAAGCTCGTGGTTCTCTGTCTGCCGACGTGGGGAAGATTGAAAAATCTGCAACTGAAGGAGAAATTGGACCTGTTGACAACTCGGACATTGCTATGGTGATTGACGAGGATGTGAAGTTGACGGACGAGGCTGGCGAAAAATATGTGCCCCTCCGACTGGGTCTGACGCTGGATGAAGACTACCGAGTTTTCCCTCAGGCAGCCTGGGACCTGATCATCTCGTGGTACGGGCTCGCAAAGGATTCTCCTGTCATTACGAGATACGCCCACGACTGGAGCGGTGCAGACGCAGCAATGCCGAACGTTACGTGGGAATTAAATCCCCCGCTCTTTTCCTTCCTCAAGGTGCCTAGTGAGCACACTACCCAGACCCAACGTGAGAAGGATCTCCCGCCTCAACGGATGATTGCGAGCAAGAAGACCTTGTGCAATGACTGGCTGAAAGAAGGCAAGAAACTTCTGCATATTGACATGAACACAAAGGTCAGAGTGTGGAGAATTCTCGGCGGCATGAAAAATGCCACTGCTTCGGGCGGCCTCACTCCATCCGCTTCTAGAAGTGCCTCTCCGGCTCCCGGCACTGAAATTGTGGCCACCGCAGGTGACAGGATGCTTCTTGACGTCAACACCTTCATCCACCTTCAAGTAGGCGAGCACCGTGAGCTCCTTACCGAGATCAAGGACAACACTGCGAACCCTAATTACAACGGGAAGACGTCAACATTAAGCCTTGTCGGTCTGGGCAGGAACGAGGAAGTGATTGTTCTCGAGGAACAAAAGGCTGGGAAGGATGAATGGCCAAGTGAAAGCTCCAAGCTCAGCCTGAGCAGAGGCATCAAGGGCGCGGCTAAGAACCTCACGCCAAGTGGCAGATCCAGTCCAGCTCCTGGCATGATGACGCGCGGACGGCAGAAACGAGACGGAAGACCACGCGGCATCACTGGGTTGAGCAATTTGGGAAATACCTGTTACATGAATTCGGCCCTACAATGCATTCGCAGCGTTGAGGAGTTAACACAATACTTCCTGCATGACCAGTGGAAGCAAGACCTTAATGTGGATAATCCTCTTGGTCACCATGGCGAGATCGCAAAAGCATACGCCAATCTCCTTCACCAGATTTACGAGGAGAACGCCTCTTCGACGAACCCTAGCAGGTTCAAGGCCACTATTGGAAAGTATGGGTCCAGTTTCTCTGGGTATCAACAACAAGACTCCCAAGAGTTTCTGCTGTTCCTCCTTGACGGCCTCCAGGAAGATTTGAACCGCATTCACAAGAAACCGTACATTGAAAAGCCTGATTCCACAGATGAAATGGTCCATGATTCGGCGGCTCTTCAAGCTTTTGCTCACAAGAACTGGGAGATTTACAAGGCGCGAAATGACTCTGTCATCACAGATCTCTTTGCCGGAATGTACAAATCGACCCTGACTTGCCCAGTCTGCAACAAGGTCAGCATCATCTTCGATCCTTTCAACAACCTCACCTTGCAACTACCCATTGAGAACAATTGGCAGAAGGAGATCCTGTACTTCCCGCTCCACAAGCGACCCATTCGAATCGACATAGACATCGACAAACATTCCACCATCAAAGCTTTGAAGGAATTTGTTGCCTCAAGGACGCATGCCGACGTGGAACGACTACTCGTTGCCGAATCTTACAAGAACAAGATTTATAAAATATTTGACAACAATATTGTCATCTCCGAAGCCAACATTCAACCTAACGACATCATCTGCATGTACGAACTGGAATCCACCCCAACCAACTATAATCCAAACAAGGCGCGGAAGTTCAGTCTGTACATGGTCAAAAATGATGCCGATGACGACTTGGTCGATGCAGACAGCCCGGAAGCCGACCGTGTGCTTGTGCCAATGTACAACCGGCTCGTCAAAAATTCCGGTCGGGTATCCTCAAAACCGTTCTTCGGTCAGCCCATGTACCTCGTGCTTAGCCGCGAAGACAGATCTACCTATGATGGTGTTCTAAAGAAAATCCTTGGAAATGTCATGGGCATGACAACCAAAAGAATACTTGATGAAGAATACAGCCCATCGGACGACGGAATGGGGACACCGGAAGGATCCGACACCATGGTCATGACAGACGACATGTCCAGTTCAGGCTCAGGCCTTCCCACCGCCACCTCTATTCAGGGCGAGGATGGCCTTGTGGATGTGTCTATGAGAGATGCTAGTCAAGCCCCGGAGCTGAGGCCTCAGTCTGCGGGGTCTGGCTTGCAAAAGCTGCTTCAATCCAACTCGCAGGTCCCTCGCCGCTTCCAACAACTTTTCGACGTTCAGGTCACTTCCACCGGGGAGGGCATTCCCACCGGCTGGAATCAGATCTCGGAGAGTGGAGAATACGAGTCTATCAGAAACCGAATCCCCAAACCAGTGGCTCGTTCCATGAGGTCGGGTGGAGGCCTTGGTCTTGCGAACGGCGAGAGCGGCTCTGCAGAAAGTGACGATGAGCTTGCGGACGTGGAGAATGACGATACACCTATGGACAGCAACGAGTCTGGGTCGGAAGCCAGTCCGGTCTTCCCGTCTGGCCCTGACTCCGAGTCCGAGTTCCAAGAACCACAAGAAATCCTGCCCAGCCGGAACAAGAAAGCGCTCAAATTCGGCAAGAATAAAAATAGGGGCAAGTTTTCCGGCAGACGCACTCACCGTCGGTCGCCTCTACCGCCGCCACAACCTTTATCCAAAGTCCAGGACGGAGATCTTATCCGACCAGGTGAAGCCATCATTCTTGACTGGAGCCAAGAGGGTTACGATGCATTGTTTGGCGGCAGTGAGGACGGCAGCGAGAACTTTCGTGGCCTTCCAACATGGAAGAGCGTCGGGCTCCTTCCTGACCAGGAGATTGCCGCCAAACGTGAGCAGCGAAATAATCGCAAGAAGAATGGCATCACGCTGGTAGATTGTCTGAACGAATTTGGCAAATCCGAAACTCTGTCCGAACAGAACGCTTGGTACTGTCCTCGCTGCAAAGAGCACCGCCGAGCCGACAAAATGTTCGAGCTATGGAAAGCACCTGATATCCTTGTCATGCACCTCAAGCGCTTCAGTTCTAACAGAAATTTCCGCGACAAACTTGAAGTGAGAGTCGACTACCCCACGGAAGGGCTCGATCTTTCAGAGATGGTGAGGGATCAGCAAGATGGCAAGAGCTTGATCTATGACTTGATCGCTGTCGATAATCATTACGGCGGCTTGGGGGGCGGTCATTACACGGCGTATGCAAAGAACTTTTACAACAACAGCTGGTATGAATACAATGGTGAGTCGCTCCAACTCTGTCCGTCGGCTTAATTGACTAGTTTAGACTCCCATGTCTCGTCAAAAACGGATCCGAGCTCGGTCGTGACCAGTGCAGCATATCTCTTGTTCTATCGTAGACGGGCAGAAAACCCTTTAGGTGGACCCAAGCTTCAGGAAATGCTCCAAGAATCCAATACCAACGGCAACGATGCCGCAGCCGACTCTGAATTGCCGCAAGACTCGCGTGACTCTTCTCCGATGACGGGGGAAGGTCGGCGTCTCGGCGACTCCTCCCACAATGGGTCGTCGAGCGCTTTTCCAGTCGGTCACGGTCACCGCGTGGGAGTGGGACCGGGTGGCTCGGCGCCGGGAGAAGGAAGTCGGCAGACTCGAGGTCTGTTAGCCGGAACAGAAAGTCCACCGAGCTTGATGCTGCCAACAGCAGCCAGTAGTGGTGGCGAACACGAACAGCCTCCTGGATATGACGATGCTCCGGCCGACATCGACGTCGACGAAGGGGTCAGCATGGATTTCCAGTGGTCAGAGCAGGCGTGGGGTTTCGGACGTTTGGAGACCTCGACGCAGCGAGCGCCAGCCAATTCCGAAGAGGAGGGGATGTTTGGTGACAAGGGCAGTTCCAATGATAGTACGCGTGTTGAAGGGAATGACTGCAGCCCCGCTCCGAGTTTCACGGATATCGACGATGAGGGTTCGATCCATCACGATCCCAACGACCATGACATTGCTCTATACAGCAGTGACGCTGGGCCCATCATGCACCATGAAGACTTCGGACACGGCCGCGGCGCGAGAGAGAGTGCCCCTCCTCCTGACGAGATCGCTGCAGGAATTGGAATGTCTGGGCGTGGCATGTCAATACCAGTGAACATGAGTGTGCATGATGACAACGATGATGTCGACGATCCGCCGATCATGGAATTGCAGGCAGATCCGGCGAATAATAACGAGTTGAGGTTCAATCCTGCACCTTAATCAGGGGAGCAGAGGGATGGATGGATTCTTTTTGGAGTCTATGGGCACTGGTGTTGTGGCTGGGAAGGTTTGCTAACATGGGCACAGCCTTGTCCCGTGATGGTGCATAGGCTACTTTTGGCATGGGCTCAGCAGGCACTCATCATCATTAAAAGAACAGACCAAAACGGTTTGTCTCGTGGAAAAAGGAATGGAATTATCAGGAGGCATTTGCAAGGACCCGAAAACGAGTTCTACTGCGCCTTTGGTCGTATGCAGAAAAGATGTGGTGGGAGCCCGCCATGGTATGAGGCGGGTCTGTACAAGGCGTGAAGCAAGCTTTTGCAGAAATAGAACACAGAGCAGCGCAATGACAAAGTGCAATGAATGACCGATGTGAGAACAAGGCGCAGATGAGCAGGACGGTGAGGCTGGTGGGCTGAAGTGGGCGTCGTCAATTGAGAACGATCGAAGACCAACACCCAGAGTACCTCGTACTTGACTACATAGGTGGCTCGGTGGCTGGCTGATGGTCCCCAGACACCAACCAGTTACTCCGCGAGGTATTAGGTGGGTTATAGCCCTTGGCTCCAGACCTGCACATCTTGACCTTTCACGGATTTCCATCTCCTCAAACTCTCATCCCCCCCTTTGATGACTCTCGTATGAATGCTTATTTAGTAGACCGAGCCTGAGCCTACTCATCCACAGCTGAACACTTGCTTAGATGACCGACAGACTACACCCCCCGTTGGCCACGACTCGCCTACTTTAAATGTACGCATGTTGAGCAAGGTTGAGGCATGTGGCGCCCTGATTCAGCAACTGTCGCTTGCTCAAACGGCATTCGCGAATTCGCAAACACGCAATCCGCCCGGGAGCTGCCCAATTTGTCCGCCCGCAGAGCAGCGGGCGACGAACCTCAGCCCTCTTCGAATCCCTGCTCGCCGGATGTGGCAGCGGTGTGGATAAGAACTCGGTGGGTCTTCCACGAGCGTTGGAAACCATGATTCGGCTGTGATTGCTGGAAGTTGAGGCTCGCTGGACTTTTGGGCGGTCTGGGCGTTCGTTCCGCAATGTTCCAGTGCCTCCGACGAAATGTGAGTCGACTTCTGTTGGTTGATACAGCATGCGTGTTGCACGGCAGAGAGGCACACACACCTCTGTCCTCCAAGGTGGGTGCAGTTTGAGCCATCCCCTCGTGCATGTGCGCAGATATATGTATATATGTATATATATATATATATATAGAAAAGAGACAGTGCGATGGGCGAGTTGGGCGGAAGAGAACAATGTATGCTGAATCCTCATCAACCGGTGATGGGTAGGATCGTTCTGCTGAGAAGAACTCTCTCTTCCTCTTTTGCGCCGACGTATGCGCTTCTGCTCTCGACTCGCTTCGAGTCAAATCACTGTCTTCTCTTTCTCGTATTTCCCTTTTAAAGCACTGGCAGCCCTCCGCCCGGTGCCTTTTGATGCCCGCCTTGCTGTTGACTGAATCACACAGCCTTACTCTTGACTTTTTCGGTGTGCTGTCTCTGCGGTGGCCTTGCGGCAGTCGAGATGTCTCTACCTCCACGGACACTTCTACTGTCCCTCATCATCCTCTTACACTTTAGTGCTCTCACCTGTGCCGCGAAAGAAGGCCAGGCTGAGGGCGAGAGTGCCTGTACTAGTGAAGGTTCCACGGAACAGGGATGTCCCATCTCGGGCAATTCCGATTACTATGGCTTGGGCGTTAGGATGGGTATCTGTACGTGTCAACGGCCATCGACTTCACATTTTTGATCAGCTAACACTCTGGACGTTTGCAGACTCTCAATGGATGACGTCCTGGATCGCGAACAACTTCCTGTGTGAAGAGATCATCGGTTCCCTCGAAACGAATTCGATCTTCCTCCTCGCATTGTTTTCGACCGTGTTTTTTTACTCCGTACGGAAGGATCAGATCCGTGTGGTGGATGTGCTGGTGATCCATCAGATGTGCGTTGGGTTTTTGTTCAGTATCATGAGTCTTTGGGGATATCGGACGAGTAAGTTCCCTTTTGCCGCTGCAGTAGCTTTCGCCAATGGAGTAACATAGCTGACCATTCGTCTTTGCAACAGTGTACTACAAAACCGAAGGCCCTGGTGGACGCCGCCATTTTGGCGGCTTTGGTACCCATTTTCGCCTCATCCTCATGAGCATGATCACCCTCTACGGGGTCTGGTTTTGGGCCAAAGGGATCGATGTCTTGTCACCGTGCGATCGCCGAACAGCCTGCGGCGGCCTCCAATTGTCCTTTTTCGGGCCACTGAGGGTTGAGTCCTGGGTGACTAGGGGTATTAACCTGGCCATGGCGATAGTGGCGGCGTTGTACTATGCTGTCATGGCGATTGTGGCCGGTATTGCGGGCGTTGTGTATGTAATGAGGAAGTGGAAGAGGAAGGCGGACAACTGGGAGTTGATCGAGCACCCGGACTCGGATGTTTCGCTCAACAAGAGAGAGTGAGTAGCATTCTGGAGCTCACTGAGATTAGACCACCTGTCCACCCAAGATTTTTTTCGCTAACGGACACGACAACAGGCTGACCATCTGGTATATTTGCCTTTCTTCTTTCAATATGTTCTGGATTGTGTCCTCCATCATCAACATCGAGTTGACCCTCAGCTTGAATCACATGAGCAACGTCCTAGGAAAATCTGCAGTCGTGGGAGCTGGTCAGTTGATCCCGCTAGCCATAGGAATGATCAGTCTTGTGCGAGTCCTTTATGTGCTTGCACAGACGCGTGCGCCCTGGCTGCGAAAGAAAGAGGATGATGATTGCGGCCCGCGTTCTCGCGGCGATGGTGATGAGAAAACCATGAGCGGATTGGGTCTCAACCCCTATTCACCTGCTCCTCGGAAGGAACGGACTGAAGATGCCGAAAAGTTTGCAGTGTTGGCGACAATGCAACGACCCCCAACTCTCCCTGCCCTACCAGCAAGCATCAGGCGTTCAGAGAAACGCACCCTCACACACCGCATCCTCCTTGCCTGGCTCCCCTGGCTGAATCTATTCGAGTGGTCGAAAGAATCCCTGACACCCCAACTATTCCGCGAACCAACGATTTTCGGCAACCACAACGCCAAAGAAAAAGATTCAGAAGTCGGCTTTGAAGTTATGGGGGCGAGAAAAATGCATTTGGAGATGCGAGATTCCCGACAGCGGATGGGACATAATCGCCAGGAAAGTGCTGCCACGGACGAAAGTTCTAATGCCGCTCTTCTCAGCTCGCCACCGCGACTGCTCCCGGGGCAGAGAGGGCTGCTGGGGCCGATGGGCGACGACGAGGTGGAGATGGTGGACCGGAAACCATCAACGATGCACCCCAATTCTCCGGCCGCCGGTATTTATGATGGTGACGGGTATGATGAATACCTGAGCCACTGATGACTAGTCAAGGGGGTCTTGGAGAGGACAGTCAAGACATTCAAGGTCTCTTGGTCGTGTTAGAGGTGAGTTCTTGAAGAAAGGGGGAATATGTGGACAAGTTTTGGGATTGCATTTTTGGGCGGACCTCTCATGATTCTGCCGAGCAGGAAGTTATGATAGGAATCATTGAGAAAGATTGCATGGACAACAGGACAACAGGACAACAGCAAGCACAGACAAACAGCGAGGAGGAACAGTTTCTTGTTTTTCAATATCAAACATGGTCGGAATACATATACACAACGCACGAGTATGTAGCAGCCTGTTCGGCCTCTGGCTTACCGGGTATTCAGCGGATCAACCAACATTCCGGTGGAGAAACCAACCTGTTTCCCCCGTATTTTCCCAGGCTGTCCTTGTTGGAGCTTCGAAGCGCTTAGTGTTCATACTCTCATTTATTGAAGCAATCAAAACGAGGCGGTGATGGATTGGTACGACTGGTTATGCTCACTCATTTCGCCTATTCAGGCAGCATGAATCATCTCTGAATTGCCCCCCCTTACTGCTGTGCACCACGAGGTTCAGCCTTTTTGGCTGATTTCGATATCTCGAGTGACCTCTGGCATTCAGAAAGCCGCGGATGGCCATTTCACAATGGGGTAAATCGTTACTTATCATTAACCCTCTCGCCGTCCCTGGTTCATGCGCTGGGAGATAAATACCAAGACAGACACACGCAAACTCCACAACGACATGGGGGAGCTCGTATTCTCCCTTGCACCTTGCAGAGTCTTTCACAAGCCACCCCCAGTCCCTCTATCTACATCGCTATGAAGCATACTATCACGACCATAGCCTCTAAATGCGCCACATCGTGCTCGGTCAAAGCTGATGACAAGATCTTTGAAATATAGGCACAGGATCTCCCCTTGGTCACAATTTTCACAGTCCGTGTTTGCAACTGTTAGGCCGCTGATGGGAAACATAGCAGGCCCGAAACCGAAGAACAGTTGTCAGCTGATTTTGGTGGCCCAACGACCAAGACGCAGATGTTGTGGATAGCCATACCGAGCCCAGTTGGGGCCTCTTGATGTGGTCTCACCCACCTAAGCCCGGGGGTCTTATTGCCCTCGAGTGGGATCATTCCGGCCAAGGACCAAACTTCACTCAACGACAGGAAATCTACAAGGCTCCCTGGCTAAGTTAATGGTTATCACTTGACCACTATCCAGGACACGGCCCCCAGTGCCACGTTGCGTAGTAGCCGCCTATGCTCGGCCAATCTGGCTACCGGCTGAGAGCTGTGGCCTGGCATCAGCAAGACCGAATCAAAGCCGGCTGGTGGTTCACTCTCTGGGCTGGATGCCTCAAGATGCTCGCTACTCGGTACCAGGCCTACTCGATAGAGTGAGAAGATGTCAGGCAAGTGGAGAACCTCCGCATTTTGCAGGCTGGAGCACATGCGCCCCGGATTCCCCACCTTTTGGCCTGGCTTTGTCCCTTGAATAATATCTACCCACCCACGGCGGAGGGAAACTCAGCTTATGGTTAGGAGCCTGTACCAAGTACGCAAGGCTCTTCCGGCTCGTCCATTAGTGGATCATCGTCAATCCAGATCCAAACAAAGTCGTCTCTTCGGCGCCACTGAAGACTCACTAAACTTCAACCGCCCTATACCAGCGAGCCTTTCTTGCTTTTGACCCTTGGCAGCTCTTGGGTAACGACCCAAAGATCACAGATGACTCGAGCTCGTGTTGCTCTGTGGCAAGTCCGTCGAACCAACTCGATCGAGAAATGTGGAGGAGTCAAGGGCATGGAGAAGTTGGGGCAATCAATCTCAGATTGTTTACTGCTTCGCTTGGAGGGTTTATCCCACAAAACGTGCAGATCTCGCCTCCAGCATATAACCTCCCTCGTCCCTCAAGTCCAGGGGCCACGGGAGCTCTCTACGTCCTTCTACTCATAGCGCTGTGATTGCCATCCTGCTGCTGATAGAGTGCCTCATCATCTTGGACATTGTCGTCCTAATTTATACCCAGAGATCTCTTATATCATCGTTAGATAAAATGGGACTCGGTGTTTTAGAAGGTTAGTGTTTAATGCTTGCGCTTCTCTGCTTCACAGCCACATGGCACCGCTCTTTTTCACAACATCCACAGCCCCGAGACTGATCATTCTTTGTGGCAGATACCAAACTTCCGCACGTGCCTGGTACCGTCCTCTTGAACGACGAGGCGGCGCATGCAGAAGCTCAAACGGCAAATCTCAAGCATGGAACGGGCAAAAACTCGCACATCGTGCTTTCTCCGCAACCCAGCGATGATCCAAATGATCCGCTCAATTGGTCCCTGTTGAAGAAAGAGGCCATTATTTGGATTCTCTGCCTTGGCGCCATGTTGAACGCGGCAACGAATGTGTGCCTCTTGTACCATTGGTGGTAAAAGTATACGTGTTGGTTAACTGTGTAATAGGGTCCTTTCTTGAACGCCTCATACTTCGCTATCGCCCAGGAAATCAAAACCGATCTCACGACCACGGTCATGGTGTCGGGCTACAACATCCTCGCTGCCGGCTGCGCTGGTCCCTTTGTATGTGGATTCAGCCGCAGATACGGCAAACGCCCTGTATTCGTTGTGTCCACTCTCATCTGCATCATCGGGACCGCAATCGGCGAGTCGAAAATAAGCTACAACTACCTCCTCGCGGCTCGGATTGTACAGGGTTTCTCGACTAGCGCGTTTGAATCCCTCATTGTCGCCGCCGTCGGAGATCTCTACTGTGTGCATCAACGAGGCCTACGAATCTCAACAATCAACTTTATCCTGAACTCGGCCTCCAGCCTGGCCTCGATCATCTGCGGCCAAGTGTTCAACGACCTGGGCCTCCTCTGGCTTTTCCACCTCTTCCAGATCTTTTTGGTGGTCCAGTTCGTGCTCATGTTTCTCTTCGTCCCCGAGACGACGTACCGCCGCGAGTCCATCTATGAGACCGACATCGTCAAGGTCGAGACATTCGAGCAGATAGAGAAGGCCCACGAAGAGCACCGTGAACACGCCATTGCCGTCAAGGAGCTGAACGAACCCGCCTCGGCTTCCTCGGGACTCCCTGCAAAGAAGACGTTTATCCAGGAACTCAAGCTCTACAACGGTATCTTCTCCCATGACAACATTCTCAAGTGGATCTTTGGCATGTTCCTCACCCTGCTCAACCCGGCCGGGTGCTACTCCATCATCGTCTCGGGTCTTCTTTGCGCTTGGTACGTCGGCTCAGCTATCATCTTGGCCGGCATCTTTGCGGGCCCGCCCTGGATGTTCGATCCCGCGCAGATCGGGTATATTGGAGCAGGGCCTTTCATCGGCGGCATGATCGGGTCCATAATCGTGGCATTGGCTGGAGATCGGGTGGTCAAATGGATGACGATCAAGAACAAGGGGACTTAGTAAGTTTTTCCACCCTTCTCGTACAGCGAGGGAAGGATGCCATTTTCCAAACGACGAAAATAACCCAAAAAAAATTAGCGAGCCTGAATTCCGTCTGGTGTTTATGCTTCCCTGCGCGGTTTTTGCAGGCTTCGGCATGTTCTTCTTCGGCTATACCATGGCCCATGGCTCCAACGCCGTCCTCTGCGCCTTCTGCCAAGGGTTGATGATGGTCGGCGTCCTCATTGGCGTATGGTCGACCATGTCCTACGGCCTGGACGCCTTCCGTAGCCAGAGCAACGAGATGTTTGTGATGAATATGCTCTTCAAGGTATGTTCTATGGCTATGGCTTCACCCTTCTTGTCTCGTCCCCCCCCCCCTTTGAGCAGGAGCAACTTGGACGAAAACCTACCTGGTTAAGGAAAAGCGATTCCATTAGACATTTTGCTAACTTGTTTTCTTCCCCTGCAATTCTGACAGAACTTCATGTTCTATGGCCTCTCTAATTTCGCAAACAACTGGGTCGCAGCGAAGGGTCCCGAGGAAATCGTAAGTCCGCACGCGTCCCCCCTCCCTCCCTCCTCTCCATTTCTTAGCCTGCCCCTCCAAACTTCAATTGTCCCGGCAAGACCACTGCCCACCACACGTTTTCTCCCTCGGAAGACGACAAGTGTCTTCTCGGTCTGCCGGTGGTGCTGGTGCTGGTGCCGGTGCTGGCTTCTTCCCGGGCCGCCTTTTTCCCATACCAGACCGGCCAGATAAATAAAGCATCTCTGACATCCTTGTGTTTTGCGTAGATGTTCACGTTCGGAGGCACCACTTTGGCCATGTGTCTGCTTGCAATTCCCGTGTACATGTTCGGGAAGAGGCTGAGGAGCTGGTGGACGAGACATGACCTCTTTGTCTTCCTTGGCATGCAAGCCACGGGGCCGGAGAGTCATATGGGTTGACCTTCCCCCTCTTTTGGGGGGGGGGGAACCTTTTTCTTAGAGGAGAGCGTTTCATGATTCTGAGTCGACCCGCCTCATGAGCTGAGAGGGTGTCAACTTGTTTGCGGAGGTGCATCACTATGTATGTACCAAGCCGGAAGCCGTGGACAGTTTGGTGTTGATGAGTATATGATGTGTGTATGTATGATGTAAGTAATACTCTAGTAGTCGATTAACATGAGATCAAAATACCTTCCTATCCAGTTTGGTCGCACAGCCCGGTACTCGGTATCAAGGCCCCTTTTTGCGAACATGAATGGACCCATCCACGCTTGATTGCACTCTTACCTGCCTGAGAGACTGTTATCAGCACCGCGGGAGATTTGTTCCATTAAGGATATGAAAGAACGAGCCGATCCAGCGGCTATATCCTCTCCTCGGGTTAAGCGGTCTAATGTTGATGCGTTGATGCGAAACGATTCTGGTTCGCAGAGCGACGATGAGCCCAGCGTTGAGCGCAAGAACTTAGATGCAAGATATCACACGCGGCCGTATGCTCTTCTGCATCCTCCAAAGAGAGTCGGAGAGACTTTGTCCTGGGAAAGATGTCCACCTTGCTTGCTGTTTGTAAGTGGTTTCTTGTCCAGATTGCGAAGCCATGCTCTTCGT